CACAATAGCCCTAACATATTAACAATTAACAATATTTAACTAATTAACATAAAAGTATCCCTTATCTGTAAATAGGATTGCTAGTTAAACCCAGCTACAACAGGATCTAATAAAGACATTAAAGACTTCCTTATTAAGAACGGAATAGATATAAACACAGAGCTAGCCCTTTTAACAAGAATAGCCAAGTATCTTAGCAAAAAGCTTAGTCTTCCCAAAGGTACCTTAGCAAAGAAGATCTATACCTAGTAACCGCTAATAGTAATAGTAAACGTATTTAGCGCTAGTATTTACATCTTTATCTCTAGGAGACTCTTTATGTACTATAATAAGATTTATCTAACCAATAGTATTAAAAAAGAGGATAAGTTCTATACTATAGCACTTACTATTATAGACAAGATACCTAAGCTTCTAGGAATTTGCAAGGTATTGTATACACATATTATTTAGCCTATCCTAGAGTCCCTCCTTGCTAGCAATAACATACAAGATCTTTCCAGGGACTTAAGAGTTCCTAGGGTTTAGATAGCTATAGATAGCAATATATACAGCTTGCAAAAAATATCTATTCTAGAACTGCTCAGTATTTATATATCTCTACAAGGTTTTATAGAAGAGTTAGATAGTATAACAGAAGATAATGCTAAAGTTAAGATAACACTAGTCTGCTAACAGTCTATTATCCGCAGATATTATAATAAAAACGGCAAAGATAGTACTAGTAATAAGGATAATAATAATAATGAAAGTAGGGAGGAAGATAATAAGAATTGTAATTAATATAAATTAAGACTTTAAGAAGAGACTTTAATATTTAATAGGGGTAAAACTTGATTATATATGCAATAGGGACTAGGGTCTATATTGCCTATAAGTTTAGATAAATTACATAATGTGAAAGTAGAGCCTGGATTACATATATAATAGTAGGGACCCAATCTTACTTATAATAGATAAACCTAACCCTAACACCGCAGTATAATATGCTATACTCCTTATTAAGCATAGCAGCTATAATAATATAGTATTTCCTAACCCTACCTAATATATACTGATTACTATTATATAGGGATATATTATATAGCCCTTTATATACTTTATTAAGAAAGGTTTATATAATATTATACTTTATTAGTATAGCGCAAATCTAGTCAACAGTATAGTTTATAATATTAGATATGCTAATAAGCAAAGTATTATTAATCTAGTAGTTATAGATAGATAGGAATGGTTATACTAAGGTTATTACTTATAGATATATAAATAGGTAAAATTGCTGGATTCTAAAGATAATATAAGTAGAGCTTTGTAAAATAAACAGAGGTAAGGTATATAGAGCTAATTGTAGACCGTAGCTAATAGTTATACCTTAACTAATAAGGCAATAAGGTATAAAGTAATAGCTACAAGGAGCAATATTAGCCGAGAGGGTAGCCAGCTTATAGAGGCTAGACCTTTGTAAGATAGCGAATTGTGTAGGTGTTTCAGAGAGTTAAGTTAGTTGACTAGAGAGAGAAGCATAGCTAAGATTAAGCGAGGATTGCAAGGCTACTGTGCGAAGCTAAGGTCGGTCCGCCTACCAAGACTCGGCACAGCCACAGACCTAAAGCTTATCATAGAAATTCCAAACGTTGGTTTAGAGGTGTATAGGGTAGCAGTCCACCCGCTTATCAAACACGTTTACTGTATGAATTTTAAAATTTTCAATTCGGGAAAGTGTATTCCTACAAGCGATAAACTCTAAATACATCGGTTGGGTAGACTGCAAAGAGAATATAGGAATAGGGACAAATTACACTCTAGTGTTCAGGTTGCAAGTTTGAAGCCGTCATAGCGATTGTCGTAATGAATTGGTTGTCAATAGTAAGACCTGATAACAATTGAGTTTCGATCAATAATAAAACCATTTAGAGTATGCTGTACCTCCATAGCATTTTACGCAACAAGACGCGTCGCGCTCAGTGGCAACCCTGGCAAACCTTTGTTCTGATCAGCACTACTCCCGGTAAAGTAGGGTTTCTAAATTAAATCAACTGTACAACAATTGCCTTTGGACTGGTTTCCAAATTACGATTATGTTGAGCAGCGACATGACTAAGTTGACTGATAAGATATACTAGTCCATAATAGGAAATGTAACGCTTGATGGAGAGTCCCATCTTCGCAATATTGGATGACATGCCACGACTACAATATTAACCGAAATTGAATAAAACTTGGCTTGGAATGCTATTTTGAGCCCTAAAGAGGAGATAATAGTTTTATTTAGCCTAAAAGCTTGCTGGTGGCATTGAACACCAAGTCGAATTGGCCTACTGGAGTTGCTCGGCCCACGAATGTTGCCTCCCAAAACCTCAGTACCAAACGATATGTTATGCTGAAGGCTCAAAATGCAAAGGGGGCGCAGTATTCCCCAGTGCTCACAATGGAACCGATCGTTTTGATCGTTACTACGCCTGACTTGACGCCCACCGATGATGGTGAGATGCGAAAGCTCGCAAATTAGCAAAAAGCTCTATATATTGACCACCTCAAGCCTGAGAATATATGCGCGTCAATCATGCCATCATATCGTTACAGTTTACCAACCCCCGTCATGCTTTTGCATATCCCCTCACTTAAAAACTAGGATATGATACTAACCTCTCCTTTAATATCAAGGGACCGAGTTTCTAGCCGTAACCGAAGCTAGCTATTGTTAATTTAAGCTGGGTATATCCACGGGACCTGTGTCGGTTTGGCAAAGCAAGTTGTCTTTCTGTCAACAAGAGGCTGAAGCAATTCCTAAAGTAACTATTGGGGATACCATGGCGGCTGGTTTCCTGAATGCTTTCGTACCACTTCAGTTGTAGGAGAATAATATAGATTGTCAATGGGTGGGCTGTACGTATTTGACGAAATTCCCGGAGCTTTTGTTCCCGCCACGTCTTATGCTCCACATCGGGTCGTTTGTTAATGGACATGGATCTTCCTTGTTAGTTTGCTTCAGCGCGGCCTGGTCTGCCCCTAGTTGTCAGCAATCCACCTTCTTATGGGTCTTATGCTAGCCCTCAGCCGCATCCAGCAGGTTGGTTCAAGATGGATTGGAGACATATAGAGGTTACGCCGATGCAACGCTTGAACAGCCTTTTACGTCAGTGGCGCTCGTGAGAAGCAGGCATCGAAACGGCCTGTAAATAAATGCAAAGCAAGAGGCCTCATAAAGGTTTTGCCACGTACCGTTATCAGCCATGTATGCTTACATAGATATTTTTTATGCGTCTACTTTTATAGTTTTACTTATACATTAGTGTGTAGGCAGGAAATGGTAGTCAAGACTTGTGTCGTTGGCATCTTCCACGCGAACAGATGAAACGGGCCGCGGGCCATCCCGTTGCGCTAAAGTTGAGTCACCGTCGGCTGTCATCTTGTGAGCTTTAGGCTTGGTATAAGTTGAGAAAACCGGGTCATATCGCCTCTGCCAAGGAAGGGCTACTGCATTATGCAATGTAATCTTCATCGACACCACAATGCTGAGCACCTTAATTGAGACAAATGACCCTTGGGGTCTCTCGGTTGGCAGAACGGCGTCACTCTCGGGACTACTTAGCTCAGTGGCTAGAATTCAAGATATCGGCGCCCATCGACACATCGTTGACCTGGATAAATTCAACAAATTGTTGTTAAGTGCGGAGTTCGTACGGTTTCTCAACACACGAATGTATAAAAGCGCTGTTAAGCCACTCCGGGAACATATTGAAGGGAGTACTCCCTACCATAAATCGAAACGTTACCTCAGTGCAAAAGGGAGCAGATAAGAAGTTTGCAGAGATTGGTGTCCAGTCGGAAAAGGTAAACAGCTATCTTTGATAATTCCGCTCGATAGATGAAAGCAGAAGTGGCTGCATATTCCTTAATCCTATTGGTAACAAGGTAACAAAGTAACAGGCCGCCCCTACCCGGACCGCTGCAGGCATCCCTGGACTAGGAAGAAGCACTGGGCGTAATATGGTAATATAGAGGTAATGGTAGATAAGAAGCTTGGCTACAAGGTAGGTATCGCTTGCCAAGAGTTAAGGGTAAGGAGGTGGAAAGTTGAAATTAACATACTGTCCCGCACTACTGCGCGATATTAAATTCTTTTAGTCTAGATTAGGTCACCCTGGTGTAAGTCCTTTAGCAGCCGATGGAAGGGTTATGATTGATCTATGCCGTAATAAGAGGAACTTCCGTTGTTGCTGCTGCTGTCACACAGGTGACAATGGCCTGGTAAGTCTTTACGTTGATCACCATAGGCCACCGAGTTGTTATGCAAGTGACCAGGATGCCAGAGACTAACTCTTAATAGCTAGGGTTAAGTATTATGTGAGCATGGATAGGATAGCAGTAACCCTGGTGATCCTTGTGTCGCGTGGCGGTTCGGTTCCTATTTGACGATTGACATTCGCTGACTTTTCGGACTGTCGATTGAACAGACATAAGTGACCATGCATACATCTGCATACCACATAAATCAGCCCATAAGCATAAGCAGGGATGCATCCTCTTCTTATCGTTTTGGTGAGCGATAAAGCAATTCGACCAGACATGTACCAGCTCTAATGTAACGTACAAGACAATCCATATGTGTGGCGTGATTTCAGGATAAATGCGGCAACTGTCCGGCTCCCTGTAACCCGTGTCTACAGGGATGCTATCTTACCACCCTTCTATATATATAGAAAGATATTCACATGTAAAGATTACAACGTCACAATATGTAACACGAGAGGTTATTAATGCAAATGAGGGGATTTCAAAGCCTTCCTGGCTGGCCTGCAGTACCATTCGAGTCAGGACATGGGATTGCAGCTAACAACTATATTGCATACGGCTACCATATTGGTTGCTGGAGCCATAAATAGAGGGGATAATATGTAAAAACTCATGCCAAACCAAACAACTTGGAAGAAAATACTCTTCTGTTCACGCTCGAAAACTCCTTTTGTTTAAACCAAGAGCCAAACGTCACAAGAAACATGCTTCACATCCAGAAAACTTCATACACCAGTGAATCTATGGAAATACTGAAAACTGGCGGCCTTCATCCCACCCTTGATGATTGTTGCTCAGAAGATTTGGGCAACCAGGCACCGTTTATCGATCGCCAATGGGCCAAACAAATGAAGAAGCTTCACTCTCCCACTGTCACAGAACAAACCAAGCATAATATTGGTCAATATCCTCTCACATCTGGACTTGCCAGCTGGGTTGCGGATAGTTTCAAAAACTATCAACCCTCGAATGACGCAATAGCTTTAGTTCAACAGTCCTCTACCCAACTACATGAGTTCTTTGAGAATGAGCGTGCTATAAGCACTGGCTTTCACAACCTCAACCTTCTTGAACTGGTCTATCAAGTCACTTTGGAAGCTGGAACGGAGATTTTAATCGCCGCTTCCAAAGAAAGTGACAACGTCCAGGCGCACACGCCAATCCACTCTCGTGGTAGCCTAGATGACCATTTCGCTTCCTGGGGCAAGCTACTCACTGGCATCGAATGCGACCCGCCGGCCATTGCTCAGATCCCCTTTTTTCTGCTGCTAGGCCAGGCATTCTCTTTGGAAACCTATTCGGCTCGAGAAAACTACATCTATGCTACTCTTATTGCGGTCGATTGGATGAAATGCAAAAATGAAGAAAGCGAAAGATTTAAATTGTTTGAAAAGCGCATTTATGAATCTGTCCCAGCGCTTGCTGACCAATTGTCTGGGGAGGACAGATCATTCTGGAGGATTGCCATTGCCTATATTAGCGCTATGAGCAAGACAGAGGATATCAAGAACCTTCCTACTCCACGTCGATCGTATGTCGATACAAAGATGGACCCGTATCTTCTCATGGCCATGCGGGCCTTCGACGGTATAGGGTTCGTCTACATGTGTAGTGACGGCGCCACCTTTCTTGATAACAAAGGAATGGATTCTCTCATCGGATCGGCACTTCCCAACGATATCATAGACCTTCACACAGATATCAAGAGTGCAGAGACGCGCAATCTTCTACGCCTTCTGTACCCTAACACCTTGACCATTGATCAAAGTGTTAAGGCTATGTCCACCGTCCTTTCTAGCATGCTATGCGAGATATTCCGTGGACACAAACGCGCTCACCTTGAAGGCCGTGAGGATGGTCGCATCGCTGCAAGCTCGATCCCCTACAGCCTTTGCCGAGCTCGCCGCCGTCAAATCTTTGAGACCATGGAAATCTACATAGCCAAATACCCCCAATTCTGGGATTGGGTTTGGCGTATCCATAGCCATGCCAAAGCTCAGATCACTGAAGCCGGTCTAGATGAGCTCCTTGCCGATGCTCTCTACCGAAGCATGGATCAAGGACCACTTCCTAAATCACCACGTAACGCCTTCTTTGACCCTTTCTTTGAGATGATTGAGGGCGATGGACCTCAATTGCAGGGGAAAAATCCCTTGAATGTCCACGAGGATCTAGGCCAAGTTATCAGTGAACTATCTCGCCTGTGGCACGACCAGTTACTTGACCCAGGTAAAGAGGCCGGCTGGGGCCGTGTGTTTGATGAAAAGTCTGATGCCCTTTTTGGGCGGGCGGGCGACATTTTACACGCCAGAGGTAACGTTGCTGATGAGGTGTTCGGGTTCGCCGTTGCTTACGGGCACTTGTCTATGGCCTTGCCGTATGTTGCTTACCACGCTATAGATGCTATTATCCTGACATATGGGATAGCATCTTAGCACAGTTCCTTCAATGAGATTCTTTGTCTTCTGTAAAAGGAAATGTCATACAGAAGAGACAGATAGCTAGGCTCTTTACATGCTTATATTGTTGTTCGGTATAATGCTATATTTGTAAGGTTATTGAAGCTGATGATTACGCGTCTGCCTATATGTACGCTAGTTTAGTAAGCTGGCCAGCGAAAGATTATTTCATTTGTGATTAGAGCCCAATTATTCATCATTTTAGACTCAAGCAACGATAGACTTGGTGTTGACACTGGTTTACTTATAGTTAATAAATCTATAGAGTACGGGAAACGCACAGTGAGGGGTATACACCTTCATTTGCCAACAAAGGATCTTAGCCTTTCCAAGAGTCTGAGGAGGCGGGCATTGCCAAACTCCCCTTCTTGGATACCCTTCTTGGATATCGTCCTTTTGTCGAATGAAATAGAAAATACCTCGAATTTAGGACATGTGATCCATGTCAGCTTGTGTGCACCTTCTCATCTCTTTGTGGCAAGGGCTTCCCATCTTGATGACTTGCAGGACACCTCTGTTGTTATGGAGGTCTATGGATGACATGTGACTCAAATGGCGGCGGCCGCACCCTGTTGCTTTTTCATGGGCTGTACCGAAGTAGGCAACCTCTTCATGTAACTCAGTCCGTGATATTAGTAAAACATCCACCACGCCTCAACATTCCTGCGTTACAACGCATTGTATTACCAAGCCATGTTGTCTATCATAACCAGCCAGTCATAACATACCTGGTATCTTTCAGATGTATTAGCACCAAATACAAAAGATCAAACCCATGCTTAAAAAGAAGCAGAATTAGCAGATAATCTGACCAAAAAGTATCACTACTACGACACGTCCGATATTACTGGCGCAACGTTTCAATCCAACCACAGGGTGTGGAAGGTCCTATCTCGATTTGGCCTTATGCCCGGCCGTGACAGAATAGCATCTTCTTCTGATAATGCACCTAGATGGATTTGTTGCCAGACACGCCTTTCCACCTCTCTCTTGAAGAATGCATCTTTATTTATCTTCCATTCCCATACAGCCAAGTGGGTTTAATAATCAGTATTCCTATTAAATAGTCAGCCAACGATTTCCACTCCGTGATTTTACCAGGAAGCTTTCAAGGCTTACAAACTATTATCATATCGCGATGACTACAATCTACACTATATTATGGTGGCTTGCTCTCAACGTCACTCTTGCATGGCTTTTTTCATGCCTTGTTGTGCGCCTCGGTTATTGTTGTGGCGAGGAACAAAACATACTCTCCGATGCATTGCCGACAAGGCAAAGGTAAGCCTAAAGAGTCCTTAAATTCTTTTTACTTTAAATAAAGGAATCTAATTAAGGCCCAATTCAGGTCAACAGCAACAAAGGCTTAGGATAACCTAGTGCCCTATACTAAAGTCAATTCTATATATTATTTATTTCTTTTATACTATATAGCGTAATATATTTGATTAGCGATCGCCGCACACTTATTCCTACTTTAAACTGGACTGATCGCTTCATTGCGCGACAACCAAAACTCTGTACGCGTTTTTCACGCCCGTACGACTACCAAAGGGCCGTGCAAGAAGATCCTGACGTGTTGAGCGCATGGTTCCGCTTGTTGCGGATATGCGCGCGAAATACAGCATACAGGACAACGATTTCTACAGCTTTGACGAAATGGGCTTCATAATAAGTATAATCCGTGCTAAGATGGTCATCACGCGTTCCATTCGAATCAATAGACCAAAAGCTGCGCAGCCTGGCAATAGAGAATAGGTCACAGCGGTTTATATTGTTGCGGGCGGATGGACATACAGTGCCGCCTTTCCTCTGCATTGCGGGCCAATTCTACCTTGCTGCCTAGTACTCTGGCGGTCAGATTTTGGGCACCTGGGTTATTAAGACGACTTCTTCCCTGCGTTTAAGGTTGCTTTTAAAGTAGTCTTTAGGGGAAAAAACATTAGGAGTAGCTTTTAGGGACCTAGCCTAGTTCCGTGAAATCCAGAAGCTATAACTTCAAGGCTTAATGTGAGACTATGGATGCTAACACCTCCTAAGACCCCTGGTGTTCTGGCCCTACCTTAGATCTCCCAGACGCCCTAGACTGCCACTAAAGCTCTTCATTGCTACACAAACTTGTAACGTATCTTTAACAATTTCAATAACTGTATACAAGAAACGGCCAGATAGTAAGTATCTTCCTAATACCGCAAGAGATTGTAATAACAGAAGCATACCCTTGGCTACAATAATACCCACAGATGAATCCCAGAGTAGTTATTCAGGGTCTTTAATAGGTACATCAAAGTCCTAAAGCAGTACATATCTTCCTCTACAGTTATAGAGCTTAGTATAACTCTCTTATCCGACTTAGTATTATTCTTGTTTTCTATCTCGCAGTAGCCGAAGGCAGACCTTTAATTCGGGGTAATAATAAAACCAGCCCGTACTATAGTAAATACACTATAGTTATTTTAAGATAAAGGCCTACCTTTACCCCTCCCCCTTTTCTAGGATTATACTAGCATCTACTTAGCAGGCCTAAATAACTAGTTAATAAGTTAATAATAAACTTACTTAAAGGATACTACATAGTAAAGGCTAGTATAACAGTAGGTATAGGCTAAGTAGCAATATTATCACAGTTAATTATTAGGAGAGAAAGAGGTTGCAAGTAGAGGCCACTTAATACCATAGTAAAGATAAGATTAGATTAATAATCTATACTAAGCATATACTTACACCTGCTAAATTAGGCAGGAGAGTTAGGCAGATGGTCGTTTAGCTGCTAAGGTTGCTTCCTAGCTAACAGCTTTAAGTAAGTAATAATGCTATATGTAAATACTAGGTTAGGAGGTAAAGCTCCGGTCGCTGGCTTCCCGTGTATACCTAGCAACTATGCCCTGCGTTGCTTAGTAACCAATAAATTATTTTTAGTAAAAAATAAGATAGCGCTAGTATAATATAGGGTAATTAATAATCTAAATCTAGGGTAACTAATAAACTTTAGTTTACACTTTAATAATAATAGGAAAGCTGGGTCTGCAAAGTGACGTGGATCAGACGTTCATGGGGCAATATAGGAGGAATCAGTTTCTTCTCCTTCGATATCGTGGAACTTGAGGGCTGATCTCTACGAAAGAGGCTAACGCATAGCCTGCATCGCCAAACCTGCAAAATGACGTGGGTAAGACAACCGTGAACAGAATGAAGGCGTTATGCTCAGCGCCAAATTACGACACGAAGTAAACTTGTTTTGTTAAGCACGGAAATCCCATTTGGTACCGTGCAGTGTTTCATTCGATGCAGTCCATTGCAACCCTATTATCAATTTTTGACTGATCACATTTACTTTCATATGGCCCAGTGGAGTTCCCTCTACCTGCCATAACTATTACAGAGGTATGATAATAATGATTGGCCATCTTCCAAGGTAATTTTGTCCAGGGATTATACACGTCGAAACTCACTTCCTATGATTCGTTGTGATTGTCACACTTAAGTGCTTGATGAAGCTTTCAAAGGTCTTTGACATGTGAATCTGACATTTGGCGTCGGAATACACGGGCCGCCCTGCGGGCCGTCTTATAGGGGGGGTGTGCAACGAAACCGACACCTACATACGCTTAATACAGATAACAGAGACCTTACATTATGGCAGCGATCTATTTCCCAACTCAGCAATTTCGTGGCGACCTCGTGCAAGTATCTTGATTCGGGCTTAGAGCATCTTGGCTTTGAGTAAAGCCACCCGAGAGCTTGAGATACCGATTCGAGGGCACAATGATGACCGATGTTTATTTCTCTCTCTGCTGCGGCCCCTATTTATACCTTCCAGCTTTTCGCAGCTGTTTCCCTGTTTCCGCCGATAACAATCCCATCTATCAGGCTTTCAGATCAAATGAGCCTCGAATATTCACAGCCTTGGTGCTAAACTTGCAGTCTCACCTTCACCCCTAGAAGCCCTCCTCATAAGACATCATGACGGATCTATGGCGTGTTGGTAGTGGCGGTCTCTACCTCGGAGAGATGAATCCTCGTGGCTGGAGCCAAGTGGATTTCAACACCTAGGACAAAGAAGCCTGCATCGGATTCGACAACGGGTGCTGGTGTGAGGAGTGCGATCAGATAAGGTTTTTCTCGATATTTACACTTTGCAAAGGGTATTATAACTCCTTTGCCCACACATAACCTTTTTTTGCCCTGCCCTATAGATAAGGTTTAGGCACAATATAATACCTTTCTTTACTTACTTTAATCTAGATTTTTTCCTCTTTTATCTATTATTAACAATACTATAACTATACAAGGTTAATAAGTCCCTACTAGTTTAAAGCAAAGATCTAATATATAATAGATATTAACTGCAATAATACTTACCTCTATAGTTATTAAATTCCTTAGGGGCCCTAATTACTATAGGGCTATAGTTACTATCTTTAGAGTACTAGTTATCTCTTTAATAACCTTCTTTTAAGAGGCTATAGATAACCTTAAAGAGTAAGACTTCTTTAATAATCTAAAGGAAGGTCTTTTTAATATTCTAAAGGTAACCCTCTATATATAGCTATACCTATTTACCTATAGGGCATTCCTTATCTTAACTATCCCTTATATAGGGGCTTAGAGGAAAAGGGCCCTAAGGTAAGTAGCTTAGTTTAAGGCTACTATAGATAAGAATAAAGGAGGAACCTTTAGTAAGGATGCTAATTAGGTATATAAGGTTATTAACCTCTTTAAGTTAATATAAGGGATAAAGGAGTTATCTTGTGTTTCTTTGCTAGCGTTAGAAGGGGAAAATTCGGTCGGCAGCTAGGCGTTTAGGCAATTTACATCAAAATACACACTTTGGTGTGAGGAGTGCAAAATAGTGTTCAACAAGGATGCTGATCTTCTCGCCAATAAAATACAGAGACGATATGTTGCCCAGGTCCAGTATCGGAGGCGACTCTCTACTGAAGGACAGGTCAATGGTCATCTGCCTCCTCTGTGTGCCTCTAAACCCCTGGTGGGCCTTCCTCAACGCATTGTCAAGAGAACAAAACAATTCGACGCCATAATCACATCTCTTCATGGCGTTCACGGCTCAGACTGGTGCAAGGCCTTCCTTGACACCCTGATGAATGAGAAAGAAGTGGATGAGAGCTGGCCAGGCCGTCTCATCTGGGCTGCAGCTCAGCGAGATGACATGATCCAGTTTATGGAACCGTGGAGGAAAGTCGGTCTTGAGTTGGCCAAGATTCTTCCCAAAGCAAAATATCCGTCTCGTGAGGCTGCAGGCTACAGAGCACCATTCATTGATGTGGCTTTGGGCTCTAGCCTAGGGTTCTTCTGCTTTCTTGATCTCGACTGGGACACCCAGTTCTCAGCCGCTGTTGTCACGTCTATTGCCTACTGGACGGATATGGCCAGCGGCGGGGATGCTCCTCAGGGTGACCTCGCCAAGATCTTTGACGTGCTCCCTTCTCTAGCCCGAGCGTGTGCGACTGGGCAAGCTGATAACCTATCGCCGATGAAAGTTCTTGCTATGGAATACTTGTTGGTCCAAAAGGTACAGTCACATACTGGGCCACCACCGACGCTTCGAGACATTTGGATGAGTAGGCTTGCCGACGTAGGTAGCCGAGAGGTAATGTCCCTAAGTGGTTGTCCAGTTGCATTCAGCGATAACCGCAGCCACGATGATACCCGTTGCAGCATGGCATGGGCTATCTGTCACGATCTATATGATCTACCCCGTGACCTTTCCAGCGGAAACATGGTCAACGCGGCGATCTGGGCCTTATTCTCTGGATATTCTGCGCGAGCAATTGTGAATTGGCTACGCGAGTCGCTTGTCATCGGCACAGGAAGGAATTCGACATCATGCGCAACAAAGTCGCTTCTGGCTACTGCATTCGTTCATGCCTGCAATCCTCGGTGGGCTATCAATGGCCTTGCGTCTACTCATTGTCATGACTGGCCCAGGGCTCCATTGCCAAGCACTCCTCGCAAAGACATATTGCAGCTCTCGGGGGCTGACATGAGCGGTTTCGATCACCAAGGCACAAGTCCTTGCGAATGTCGTCCTACCGACGCATCGAATACTCTCGCTCGGGCTGTTCAGGATGTACTTACGGGCTCGGTGGAACGATTCACCTCTGCTGAGGAAAGACTGCAAGCGCATTGTATGGGGATGTCTGCACTTGTGAAACATGACTGGGACATGCTAATCAAGATCTCTCGGAAAGCTTGGAGCACCTTTTTGCAGGATCTAGATGCTATTGCTGATTGGGTTGATGGGAAATGTGCTTAGGTTTAGGTGACTCTTGGTCGGGGCAGGTTTTGGGCAAAACTAGGTGCTATTTATTCTTTATGGTCATGTTTCGTGATTCGGGTCGAACCCTTTGCACTCTTTGTTCCTGTTCTCTATTCTACCCATTCAGATATCTTGCGGTTCTGAAAATTCCTAAATCTGGCACTGGTTCTGATCAAAACGTACGCTTGCCTCGCACGAATCACTTGGCGTCCGATCCATCGGACGCCCCACGAGATAAAAAAATAGCGGAGTCACGTCTCGGTCTCTCGGTTGCAGGGTTACCTTCCCGAACCGTCCTCCTCATGGTTCTGCGTGACATTTCCTCATTTGCTGCGCTCTGTACGTCTGCACGTGTGAGCATATACCGATGGTGGACAAGTTCAGATATAGGTTCCTCCTCGTCTGCAGATTGCTCGAGGCTGGTGGCAAGGAATGCTAGCCATACAACCTTGACCACATCAGCAGCTAATAGACAGTTAGATCTACCAACTGATTGTACGTATAACGTTTAATTGAAAAGAAAGCTATTCTATTATTATCCTATGACTACGCTCTACTAACTCATAGGTTTTTATACAGATTGAAGCGCTTGTTGTTATTGAAACAGAGTTCGTCGGTTGCCCCATGTCGTGCTAGCGCCATTCTTTTTCTCACCAAAAATAATTCGTCGGTTACCAAACGACGCGGGGCATTGCGTCAGGCTGGACCTTGGCCACCCAGCACTTGGGTATTGCTATTGAAGAGGGCATTCTAGTTATGATTACATTTGCCATTATCCCATGTTCACATACTGCCTTGGATCGGATAGAAGCAGCTATCTTGAGTCCCCATCCCAATGAGGGATTATCATCACTCCGAGAGTCAGTCAGCTACAATCTGAATATGGTAGCCGTGGCGGTAAGTGCAAACCCATCATCGAATAGTGGTATAGAATGAGAAAGATCTGGCCAGGGTGCCATTGTCGTACAAATCGCTATCACCGGCCTCTCGCTCGAGTCAATGGCCAGGGCACATTGGACTGCTTCAGCCTTCCTCGTTGCTAGTCTCATATTTGGAGTCATTTCAGTATACGTTGCCTTTGTTCTCCAACAGCAGCTCAGCGGCATTCGACGGCCTGTCAGTTCTGATGAATGGTTTACGCGGCGACGTAGGATCGCAGATCAAAATTCATGGCGTGGTCGCATTCTCTCAAACATGCACAGTTTCAATTTTATCCCCATTCCATTTCCTGAAACGGGTCTCCGCGCACCCTCTGCTGGAGCCGCCATCATGCTAGCAGCACCCGCCGCTTTGTTGGGCTTTTCATTAAATGCGTTTCTGATAGGGTTTGGCATTTACCTTGGATGTATATACACTGATAACCTGGTTTCTGGGTATGGGAAGTCGGGATCATTGGGTATACTTATCTTCTACATCGCGGCGGCTACGATTGGGACACTCTCATGCACGACGTCTTGGGTTGCAAGAGAACCAACTGCAACCACCAATCCGGCAGCGCCACCAGTGCCTGAAGTCAGAACTGAGGCTGTGCAAGACAATCCAGTTCATGGTACTGAAGCATAATGACCTCGCAGGCTCAAGCTCAACCTAGGCAGTTTAGAAAGGAAAAGGCTCCAAGGCAACAGTGTCGCGTTAGGCTGCAATGAGGGAGCTCGAGTCCAACGATAAGTGCACTTATTGACGGTGTTACACGACGTGAGTCCCCGTTAATGAACTTAATTAACATCCACAAACTTGAAGCTCAGAACAACATCAGTTTTAGTGTTCGATATACTCAACAATCTTTAGCCTGTCATTCCATCTTTCGAAGAACCTCCTTGCACAGGCTTTCTGGATGGCTCTGAACCAGATATCTGCCATCCTCTTGTACCCGTCATCGCTGGGATGTGTACCATCCATCAAATCATCGAGTTGAGGCCCCTCAGCACTACTCATATTTGCAAGAACTATCCTTCTCCGTTGGGCTTCCTGTGTTAATACCAAGTCACGAAGACCAATGTTAACGCGTAGAACTCGCGAGTTGACTTGCTCGTCGGCGTTGACTAGCAGCGTTGAAAAACTGATTGTAGAGAGGGGAGAGGTCTGCCACAGATATTTAAGCATGTTTTCCATTCGCTCCGCAAAAAGATCAAGTTGAAAGTTTTGGATACAGTCGTTAGATCCGGCGTTAATTGTGAAGAGCTTGGGTTTGACAGTCGCGATGGACCGTTTGGCTTTATTTTTGATCTGTTCGAGTCGATGTTCACGCCATCCTTCGTTCTCGTTGTTGCACATAAACCCAACCTTGCGTGATCCAACCATGCGGACTTCGTAGCCAGTGGCAAGAAGAAGATCTTGCAGTAATTTTCTGTAGCCATTTCCATTTGGAGATCCAACACCGTATGTAACTGAGCCCCCTAGCGACATCAGACGTAATGCTATTCTCGGTGGCATTGTCCGCGTGCTATAACGAGTGGTCGAGTCTTGACTATGCGTACTGCCAACTGTGAAATCCAGACTATGTTCAGACGGGCATTGAACTGTGATAAACGTCTGATATGGCCGACACATCTATGGCCGTGGCAGAATTGTGGACGTCTTATTGCACGTGGCTGGCAAACTCTCTGAAGGTTGTTGCGGGGTTGGGGACCTGATTGAGCTAATCTCACCGCGGCGCTGAACATGACCCCGACTTGGTGTTCAGCTGACTGCCATCACAAGTTGGAGATATTGAACTCAGTCAGGTATACAAGATATGGATGATTCTCTGAGGCGGAGAGCGGCAAAACAAAAAACAAAAAAGTAGCCTGATTTCCAGTCTATGCTAGTATAGGGTGATCAAACCCTTCCATCTCTCATGCTCGCTGGCTCAGCTTTTCCAGTATTTCCTCAACCAGCACCCTTGACTTCGCAAGTTCCTGTTCAAGTCCCTCGCCTGTATATTTTCCAGGTAGATACCAAGGCGCAATATTCTGCACCACTTGCTGGAGCAGATAAACCTGCTCCCAGCCGTCTTTGGCAATGCCTTTCAGCGGAGTAGGCACACTATTCTCCTCAAGCCGCTTCAGGTAGACTTCGTATACATCCTCCGACCAATCGTTGCTGTTCTCAATATAGTCGTTTAAGAACTCATCAAGAGCGGGAAAGAAACCAGCGAACTCAAAGTCAACAATGCCAGTAATTTGAGGAGGTGAACCTGATACAAGAACATTGCGAGGGGAGAGATTATAATGAGTGAAAACGAAGTCATCGGCTCCCATGCTTATGGATGGAAGAGTTTTCTGCATGAACTTTCGAACCGGAGCTACAAGGCTTCTGTTTAATTTAAAAGTCTCATTTGTTTCCAGCGTTGCCAATTTATTCTCGATCAAGACCTTGCAGTAATCTGCAACTGTCGTGATAGGGTCCAAGCGGCGAATTCCTTCACCCAGTACACCACGGATAACAAGTTCTGGTCCAATCTCTAAAGTGATATCTGGACGGGAGTCCTTTTACTCATCCTCCTGGAATCGCAAACTTCCTCCGTGCATCTGGCGGGGGATTATGCTTCGCCAATCTGCGACATGGTCTGCTAGTTGCACGGCTAAATCGGCAAGTCTTTCATTGCTGTGTTGTGATAGATCGATAGGTTCGCCGGGAACTCTGGTCATCAAAAGCCAGCCACCAGTATTTCCGTCGAAAGCTTGCTCCTCAATACCGCTCACGTGGCTGCGCACAACGGCCATCTTCGATCCATCTTGTGACCACGCGATCGCTCTAGGCACCGGAATTCCAGGGCAAAAGGTGTCGAGTAGTCGTAGGCAAGAAACTTCATTTTCAATTTTATCGCCTTTAAAGGCGCGACCGTTGATTTTGAGAACAAAGTTTTCACTTTCCACGTCGCTGGTGTCAGTTGTCGGTCGTGAGCACCTGAGAAAATAGATCCGATTGTTGTATGATTTGAAGGACGAAAGACTCTCAATGTCTATCAATTTGACCTCTGGCACAGCCAGATGCACAAGCTTTCTGATACTCTCACCGGACATCTGTATCCCGAAATTGGGATGATGAGGTGGCGTTGACGGCCGTGGATCAACAAAAGACATGATACTCGGTTGATAGAGGAAGTTAATTGAGGAGAAAGTGTTGATGCGAATTCGCTGATTGAAAGACATGAACTATTCGTGTTTTACTTTTGTTCGGCATGACTCATTTGCCGACGTATTGTCCCACGTGTTACGTACTTGGTTTGACGATAGCTTCTTGGCCAAAAAGGCGGGGTCGTAACCACTTTAGTCCGACAGATTTCATTACCTTCAGATCTTTCGTCAACCACTCTGTAAAAAGTTGCTACAACTATTATTACTACTCTATAGCTTATTATATACCGGTTTTATCTATGTAGACTGAAGGTAAAAATATTGTAAAGGTCCATACTGTCTTAGATCTTTCCAAAGCCAGCAGCAGCGGGAACCTTGGTCTGAGCAACAAGGGCGCGGGTAGACCTAGCAATAGGGAGACCCTTGAACTCAGACAGGAAGCCAGTATCCTTACGGTTGAAGGCACCCGAGGCAACAAAGATGTTACCCTGGCACGCACGGCCAAGGTATGGCTCAGCGGCATTGGAGGCTGCACTATCAGGACAGCTGTTAAGTTGTCCCTTGAAATCGGGAACGACAACCTGCTTCACGTTCTTGAACACATTGCCCTCGAAGAGTCCCTTGCCAGCGGTATCACCCTCGATAGCATGGCCATTGATGTCGGACCAGACGTTGTTGACGGCATGGAGGAAGGTGGTGGCAGACAGGGCGGGACCACGACCGGCTGTATGCTCGATGAAGTTGTCTAAGGTTTGTCAACGATGTGGCTCAAGTTGTGGAGAATGGTGAAATGTACTCTGGAAGGTGATCTGGTCGCCCTGGCCAACCATCTCAATGGTCCAATAGTGGTAGCCATCACAGCCGGCGGACCACTCTGTGCGGCCGTTAATGTGGTTGTTGGAGAGAGTAATACCAGTACTCTTGTCGCGGCCAAAGACATAATGTTGGCGACCCATGAGAGATGTCTAGGAATGTTAGCGATGGCGTGGCTGGTTATAAATGTTAGACATACCGTGCAGTGATCAATCCAGATCTTGCTTGTGCCGGAGAACGTGAAGGCATCACCACCCCAGACGTATTGAGGGTTCAATTCTGTGACATCTATTGAAACGAGAGGTTAGAAATAGCCATAGGTAATCCATAGTGGTCCAACTTACGAATGTTTTGAACAATAATGTTCTTCACATTAACAAAGCGCAAACCCTTGCCCTTGATGATAGCCTTGTTTCCAACGCCAACAATCGTCTTGTCAGAAGCAACATTGATTCCAGATGTTCCAGCCTTGGAATAGGTAACATCAACTGGTGGATTACTGCCACACCAGTTATTGGCAGCATTGATGGCCAGCTGGCATCCTTTTCCAGTTTTCCAAGGAGCACATCCCCTTTCCTTGACGGTACCTTCAGAGCCGATGAAATCGTAAGTTCGGTCAAGAACAATGACGTGAGGAGTCTTGTCCGTCAAGTAGGTAACAAGCTCCTTGATGTTCGTAGGGGTTACTGGCGAAGCGGAACCGCCACCGGTGACACCTTGGGCAAAACCTTGAGCTGAGCCAGAGAGCTTTTGAGCAGTAGCCGAGGCTAAAAGTGTAAATAATACGCTAGAAAGACTGAGCTTCATCGTGGCGGCAAAAGAGTGTAAGGAGATGTAAATTGATATAGGGCAAGAGTTAGAAATATGGTGCCTGCTGTCACCTGAAGTAGTATTTAAATGCAGAGTACTATACGCGGAAGTAAAATGAGCTGCGGATACAACAGTGCTAAGTGGAGAACTCGTTTAAAATAACATTAACGTGACCCTCGTTTCAGTTGGCCCCGGCAGGTATTCTTCCATCACTAAAGCCCAAGTTGCTACCAGTATAGATTATCAGTGCTCGTATAGTCACCTGTAAAATTGAGATGGAATACTACACTTTGTATTTAAATGGCACTAGATGCAACATATAGATCTTTTTGATCCCCTAGAGTCCCATTGCTTGATGCACTCAAGACGAGTCCAGTTGCAGACTTGAATAGACAGAGGTATATTGGTAGTGTTACACGGGACTGGCATGTTAATAGTGGCTCGTGCACCTTGTATAAATCCATAATGCATCACTAACGTTGAACTTGTGGGTAGCTGGCGATTCATAGCCCATGACGGGTATGGTTCTACAGTTCTGATTGACAGCAAAACAGCTTTATCACGATAAATGAGTCAACATGTAACCTTTTCGCCCTGGTTCCAACCCGTCTAGATACCGTCAATCTGACTAGCGCCCCAAGCCACCACCGCAAAAGCAGTACCGCCGATAGGAGCAACCCACCCTGCAGCAGTTGACCATAACAGTTTGTGCCCGCTAATGATGGCGCCAACACCGCCCTGCAACAGCTTGACAATAAAATCTTGCTGATTGCTCACCCGAAACACGTACTTTTTCTCATCGGGGGCATAAGCGACTGCCAGGCAGGAATCATCGAGGTAGCTAAGTGTCGGAGTCGATGCCGTGAAGGTACGTTGCTGCCCTTCAATCTGCCAGATGAAGTTGGTCTTATCCGGTCGGGAGAAAAAGCCCCATTCCGATGTCCCGATCGAGAGGGATCCTTTCATGTTTTTGCCAGGGAGATCGGCGTGGTCCTTTGGGCGTCCACTGATGGCGAACTTGACGACAAATAACCCTCCGTGTCCTCCATGTAACCCCCATCCATCTGTGCGAAGCCGGAGCTCTGCTATCTTTGCGCCGCGATACTTATTGTGCTGACCTTCGGTGATGTCAGAGGGCGTGAAAGTATGGGGAAAGGTAATGCCATTTGGGTAGCTAATTTGAGCCCAGAATCCCTAAGGTTGGTCTTGGTTAATCTCATCGATCGTGAAAGTCATCCCCTCTGGCATAACAGAGAGGTAGAGGGGAATAGTCATCTGTCCAAAGCCCATTGTGAAAGGCACCTGGAATTGGATTTGCCAAGGTTGAAAAGTGTGTGAGAGTCTCGTCAGGAATTGGGTGATGGAAAGTGAGAACGAAGACTCATAGGTCTTGGGCTCTCTTGAATGTTATTTCTCATAGGTCGTGGAACATGGATGGCAGCCACCAGGATAACCTCCTCCGGTGTTCTGTCACCCAAATTCCATTGTCACTCTAGAACCGTCGGAGTGTGGCTACCTGAAAGTGGCAATGGTAGGCACTAGACTATGCACCGCTGAGACCTACATATATTGTTGTCGAGGCGCGTTTTATAATTGGAAGAGTCGCGGCCGCACAACGGTGCCGTACCTGTGCGGCTGGCTGATAATAAGAACAGTGCCGATGTTGACCAAATAAGCCTGCTTTGGGTCGCTTGGCTCACTTTAGCGTGGCGCTAATAGCCTCTTCTAAGTCAAGCGTCGTGGTTAGGGAAATCTAGACGAGCAGTTGCAGGATGCTGGAACAAATATCCCGGTCTAGAATCGTATAATCGCCGTATCGATGGTTAAATTCAGCCAGTGTACAGTTATCGATAAGGGAATTAAGCAGACCCTTGCATTGTGGCGGCTCTAGACCCTGGAATTTAGTGCTGAAAGTATCCCTGCTTAACACTAACCTATCTGGAACGTCCAGAGCAAGAAACATTCGCCTTTTACGAGAACAAGATTGCCTGGTTCAAAGCGCCAGCGATGCACTTGCAAAAGACCGAGTTGAGTGTATCACGGTGTTTATGGGACCTGTGTTGGCATGCTCAATGGTATGTCGATTACTGCACTGCTCGCAAACGATAGGGTAGGAAGAACGCGTTAGTTAATGGTTTAACCCCGCTTCTTGCAAGTTGCCGAAGAGTTCGAGCTAGATGGTGTAACTGTCGAGGACTTCTGGGAATGGATTGTCGAGCCTCTATTCCCCATTTTCCGGCAACTGCCTACTCCCGACCAGACAGCGATACGGACCTTGGATGACTTTCTCAACCCTGAAACTTTCGTCTATACGTTTCAAGCGGTCTCCGACGAGCGGGTCCCACGGCTAGACAAAGACGCCGAACACCGATCTCCATTCGGTGTTTCTGTTCCAAATGAGCTTTGTGCGTCACGGAAGTCCTTTAATCCAGCTGATGTCCGGATCTGGGATCAGAATCTGGATGGCCCGCCTTCTCGTACGCCGAGCAGAGTCCTTTTGAGCGATGGGACAGTTGCATTCCTCAAACTTGTTCGCCGAGGCGACAAGCGGTCCCTCGAAAACGAGCTGGCTACATATGGCAAGATCGACAGAGCACGACTTGATAACAACCTGAGGATCTCACGCCTCTACGGTATAGTGCGAGGCAAAGACGGTGTTATCCTAGGTCTTTTACTTACCTATATTGACTGTGAGCGTGTAACGCTATCGTGTGCAATAAAGCCAGGAACCGAAGTCTTGCTAAGGAAGAAGTGGGGTGCGCAAATACAGGAAGCTCTTGGGCAACTGCATGATGCTGGAATTTTTTGGGGAGATGCTAAACCAGATAACGTATTAATTGACGTTAATGAGGATGCTTGGCTTATCGATTTTGGGGGTGGATACACTGAGGGATGGGTTCCTAAGGCCCTTGTCGGGACAATGGAAGGTGACAACATTTCCCTTGGAAGAATACTAGAATACATTCGCACCTAGAATTGCTGATCCTAAGACTTAATCAAGGGTATCATACAGATTAGGACATTCTACCCTAAGCTTAGTGCCCAAGTGTATCTAAGGGTAAGGTTATTTTATCAATAGATTTGGGGATTTTCTGGACCGAATGGAGGAAATAACACTGCAGGAGTAGCATCCATATCCGTGACTATTGTTTGTAGATAGAAATGGACTTAGAGAAAAGAAAGGTGTAGCCAGTGCGGACGGCGATAGAATCAAGCGCAAATCTTCACGATAATGGGATGAGATGGGATGAAATGGCAAAGGGAAGTCAAATACTGCACTTCTAATTGTCTATGGGAAGACATGCCACGAAACTGAACCTCCATCGTGGTTTGCCTCTCAAAAAGCTCCAAACAAGGTCCGTGATGTAGGGCGCGTTTTCATTCACAGTTGCGGCGCCGCGACGCGAGTTATGACCCAGTCCGTGCTCCGTGAAGAATCGGGCGGATATTCGCGTATCAGTATTGTGGGGTATGATCATCGATATCGACAGTGGAATTGATTGCGGAACAGTAGAACGCACTTTATCTCTGATATCCACGATTGGGGATAATCTTCAATTCTGACATTGTCGACGCGACGGTGGATTGGGTCTTCCTCGACGGGGTTGCAAGTCGGGGGTTCGGATTCCGTGAGGCTGCCGGGGAACGAATTGGAATGACATGTACGCCACTCAGATGTTGAACAGTGATGAGTCAAGTGGAGAACGGTGATGGAAATCTTGTGCTGTCCTGTTATCACTTCTTTCCCTGGCAACTGTACCCTAAGCTATCCAGAACCAAACACGCTCGAGCCAATTCCGTGGCTTAACAACTGGCCAGGTTGGCTCCAGGCGATCAATCTCAGCCTTTCCAGACCAGATATCCATCTCCGAGTACTTGACATATTTTGACTTCTTAACCCACTTGTACCCAAGAACAAGAAAAAGGAAGATGGGAATATTGATATAAGGGGGCAGGAAGGTCTTTGCACTAAAGCGACCAGGGAAGAAACAATCGAATCCATTGAAGACAGCAACAATGGAGCAGAAGCAAGATGAAAAGTAGGCGAGGAATGGCTGCATCGGCGACTTGAAGGGCAAAGTGTTGCGGTCGATGTTATTGTACTTGAGGCAGTAGTAGAAGCGTAGATAAGTGAATGAGACGCTGGCCCAGATGATAAGCGCTCCCACGCCACTCAAATTACTGAACCAGAAGAAAACCTCAGACCCGCTGTTGCTAACATTGAGATATACCAGTAGTCCGAAGATTGTAGTGACACCGACGCAGAGGTACGGTACACCGAACCTCTCAAACTTGAGAATGCGAGGCGCTTTGCCATCGAGAGCCGCGGCATATAGCACACGGGTTGCTGCGTAAAAAAGAGAATTGCCCGAAGACCAGGCCGAGGTCAGGATGACGGCATTAATGATCGACGGAAGAATTTTGATGCCGCCGTTACGGATAGCAATGACGAAAGGGCTCGAATCAGCACCAGGCGCGGACTTGTTGATGGCATTAAGAAGGTCAGGGTCTTTGGACGAGACACAAAGTCCAACAAGGAAAATTGAAAGAACGTAGAAGATGACAATTCTCCAGAACACTCGGCGAATAGCCTTGGGAATATTCCTCCGAGGGTTTTCTGCTTCTCCCGACGCCATGACCACCATCTCGCTGCCGCCATAAGAGAATGTACACGTGATAAAGACTTTGAAGAAAGCCAGAAGCCGTCCTATTGCGCCTGATCGAAGATACTCGTTCATTGGTCCCGGATGGTTCCAATATCGGAAACCGATAGCCTCGCCGTTCGGAGCGCCGCCGACAGTGATAATAAACATGAGGATGATGAGTCCGACGATAGTCAATAACTTGATCGCACCAAAGACGAATTCAGCCTCGCCATAAATCCGCACGGGCAGACAATTGAGCAGAACCACGGAGAAGTAAAAGAGTGTTATAAGGCCAACCTGGGAGACGTTGTTGTGCCAGTAATTGACAATCACAGCCGAGACCGTGACTTCAATCGGAACACCGATAGCGAATTGGTACCAATAATTCCAAGCGAGTGCAAAGCCAAGAGCTGGATCAACGAAGCGTGATGCGAAGATGGGCACGGGACCAGGAATCGGCAACCAAGCTGCCATCTCGCCAACACTGTTGAGAACGCAGAATATGTTGAATCCTGTGATGCTGTAGGCCAGGAATGCCGAGAGAGGACCGGCCAGTGATAGGACCTGTCCACTGCCGACAAAGAGCCCCGTGCCAATAGCGCCAGAGAGAGCAAGGAATTGGACGTGCCGGGACTTGAGCTTGCGGTTTAGTGTACCGACATTGCGAGACTCAAATTCTGACTTGTTGTCAGCGGATGAATCGTTGTTGGCTGCTGCTGCTTCGATGTCATCCATATCTTGCCTCGCCTCTCTCTCATTGGGCGTAATCTTGTTGGTATCCATACTCTGAGTAGCGGCCGCTGCGGGAAACGTCCTCCAGTCGCGTAGTGGGATCGGACTGAAATAATGACATCTGTTCAAAGGGGAAAGGAGACAGCGGCGTGAGCTATTAAGAACGAAAGAAATCTCAATTTCCTTTACCACACCCCTTCAGACCCTCGTCTATTTGAGGACTTTTCGGTGCTTGCGCCGGCGACACTGGGTCGCCTCCGCCCCACGCTATGACACATCGTTATAAACGGTTCGCCAAGGATTTGTCCAATGATTGTCACATCGCTCGAGAGAATTTTCTTATCAATCTAGAACTGCAGCTATGGCATGATCATGATAAAGATTCGATCTTAACAGATCAAGGTAGATTTCGGGCGCAAGTCTCTCATCTTTGATAATGACATAACAGTGGAGCACGTCCATCCACTTTACGTTTATCCTTGCACCTAAGCTGCATCCATGCGAGTATAACATTAACCTCAAGTGGAAGTTGATCTTTAAGATCCAATTAGGGACGATCTGAGCCGTGATATCCGTCTTGGCAAGCCATCCGAGGTCGGTGATCCACTGATTGATAAGATCATTTTTGATCAAAAATTCCGCATCAATCAGACTGCATCTGCAATGATCAACCCACTCGGTAGCCTCCGTTTTCCTCAACCCTTCCTGTGGATTAAGTAACTTTTTGTTAGGCAATTTCGTCTATCATCCTCATGATACTTGCATCACATGCAAGTCGAACAGCGATGAAAGCCGAGGTAGAAGTGTGCAGCTAGGAAAACATCAAGACCAAGATGCAGTCTGTCTAGGACTGCATGGCAGAAGAATTGAAAAGCCGTGAGAGGAAGCCTGATCTTTGGAAAACGTCCATCTTGTCTACAATATTACACACTGGCTACAGAAGTCCTAGGTATACAGAGAGCTTTCTTGATTTGTCAGCAGGGATACAGGGTAGTTTTTTAGGTGAAAAAACATTAAGAGTTCATCAAGGCAGTATCTCAACACTTGCGTCAGAAATATATCCAAATTGAGACAGAGATAAACCGGCATAACAGGCCAATACGTATGCAGTGAGAAAAGGTCATGTTTTTCGGCACGCAGGTGAGTGTGGGAGATTATCGTCGCTTCGTGGGAGAAATTGAAGAACGAATATCACAGCAAGCCCAACCGGGTTTCCCTTTTCTTTCGGGCTGCTTTAGGCATACTTACACGCCTATCAATGGTGATGTGGGTTACTGGTCTATTCCCTAATGACAACTGTTTATTTATTGTATGGGAAGAATTTACAAAAGTGTGATTGCAGAGCTATCGAATGACATAGTCATTGGCTAGAATAGCATGGAATCCCATGACGCATTCAACCCCTGCAGAGCCACGCTAGGCCTGTTCTAAGGCCCAATGCCACTGACTAACTAGGTATCCAACTTACAACTTGACTTCAACTACTTGTCCACCGGAAACTTTATCAATACCCTGGCCAGCCGTACAAACATACAAACTCTTCTGATCCTTGCTTAAAGCGACACTTGTGGCACCGGCGAGCAGACCATCATCCACGAGAACAGTCCTCTGACCACTGGTGGTAATCTTTACGAGACTACCATCCCAAAATGCGACGTAAGCATTGCCGTATTTATCCAATACAAAGTCATCAGGGGCATAGGCCGGGCCCTTTTCTGACTGCTCCTGGGAAATGACCTTAATCTTGCCAATCGGGTTACCCAGTTTATCAATTTTGATTCTTCCAAAGCTCTGACGAGCGCTGTTGGTAAAGTAGAGATAGTCTCCGAGGATCTTTATGCCGTTGACACCTAGACCAAAAGGTCCATTTGGAATTGGTCCGAGCTGATCGTGCTTGATGGCGACGTCGATATGGCCAGTAGTGGTATCGATCCGTAGAATCTCTCCCCGCACTGAATCAGCGCCAAGGATGATGTGCTTGTGATCGGGGAGTGCCGTAACGCCATTAACTGGACCATATTTGGATTTTTCAAAAACGGTGCGAACAGATGTTTTGTTGCCAACGAACTGGACAAGAGAGAGGCTCATGGTGTCATTTTGAAACTTTGCACCGTAATCACCTCCAGTGATTGCAAAGACATCATTACCAACCTCGGCAATGCCGAATAGAGCATTGACATTTTCGAAACGGGCAATGACTTGAGGTTTAGGAGGAGACTGAGACACGTTCAGAGAGTAAAGTTTTCCGTCTCCAATTGTGTTGAGGAGGAGGTTGCCGTTGGATCGAATGGCGGTGTTTTCGATCCATACATCCGGGATCTCAACAATCTCATGTACTTTGGGCGAAGAGCAAACGGGAGAAGATAAGACTCCAGGTAGAAGCAGGCTTGGGAGAGTAGTTGCGATTGCGTAGCGCATGATGACTGCGTGATAACTGGAGTTTGGGAAGTTGATGTTGTTGTTGAATCACAATGCTGATAAACAGTTACGAAAAAGAAGGTATTGTTGAACTTATCTACTTCAGTATTCTTCAATAGCTAGATGTGATATTTCAAGCTAAAACCTTCGCTGAGCGTTTGTTTGTAAGCTACTGGATAAGATGATGATGGAAATAATTAGTAATTGAGTGCCAGGGTAGCCAGACCCACAATCCTTCTCGTGCTGATATATTGCCATCTCCACGGAGCTCCGTTGACATCGCCCAATCTGAACTACGAGCAATGTAAAACTTAGTCTACGTTGTTCCATCTCCTTCAGTGAAAAGCTTTTCTTGGCAGCCGCTACCATAAAACTGGACTCTACAAGGTCTTAGGATTTTTCAATGTAAATGGGAATATCCTTCCCACTCAATTTAAGCTACTCCTGTTCTATGGAATTTGTACAGTCTTGCCAGAACATGAAAGTCTAGCTAACTTCACCACCTCTTTGCATCTGCTCAGATCTAGGCGCCGTTTCCGTTGTAGGCAATCAAGTTAGGGCTGCCAGACAGGGTGCCAGTGATCTTTCCAGAAGTTCCAAGAGCCTTGATACGATTGGCGACAGAAGCAGGGGTAGTAAGACCCTCGAGGACCTTAAGGTACAGGGCAAGACCAGCAACATGGGGACAAGCCATTGAAGTTCCACTGATGGAGTTGGTGGCGCTGTTAGAACCAATCCAAGCGGACAGAACACCTTGACCGGGAGCAAAGATATCGACACCAGCGCCTTTAACAGTTAGTTGGTTGCTCAGAAAGGGAAGAAATCAACGTACCGTAGTTGGTGAAGGAAGTGGGCTTCCAGGCGGAGGTCAGTGCAGCAACAGTGATGGCGTTGGCTGCGTTGGCAGGGGACTGGCTGGACACGGGCAACGGGTTTCCATTCTCATCACCGTTGCCGGCAGCAACGACAGAGAGGACACCAGAGTTGTAGGCAGCGTTGATAGCAGAGGTCCAAGCCTGGGAAGCCTCACCACCTAAAGTAGCCGTTAGTGGAAGAATCCCATCACACGGGGGGGTGTATCATACCAAGGGACATGTTGATAACGGCCTTGCCGGCGCGGCCCTTGGAAGTGATGTCGTTCACAGCCCAGTTGAAACCGGCCAGAACACCAGAGTCAGTTCCCTCAGCTCCCTGGAAAACCTTGACGGAAATGATGTTGGCCTATGGAGATTAGTACAGTTCTGTTTATACACAGCCGCGTGCACTGACCTTCTTAGCAACACCGTAGGTAGAGCCAGCAATAGTACCAGCAACGTGAGTGCCGTGTCCAAGGGTGTCAGTGTTAGCTCCAGAGAAGATGCTGTATCCTGCAACGGCGCGACCGCCGAAATGGGAGTGGGAGATCAGAACACCACTATCGACAACATAGGCATAAGAGCCCTCGCCAGCAGAGGTATCATAGATGTAGCTAGTAGAGCCAGAGGTGCGGTGGGAGATCGTTCCAAGACCCCAGGGAGCTCCGGACTGGGTAGTCAGGGCCCTGTCAGACAGCTCGCTAGACTGCTCGTAGTTAAGCTTGACAATCTTGTCAGGCTCGACAAAGGCGACCTTTTTGCCTGTAAGTAGAAGTCTCTATGTTTGATCGTTGAAGCTTACCTCGGGGCTGGCCTCAATCTCCTTGATAGTCTCCTCATCGAACTGTCCAGCATAGGCATTCCAGTTCTTGATGTTGAAGGTATGTTCAACACCGGCAGTCTCGCGCTTGGCAAGGCTGCGGCGATGAACGTCACTAACCCAGTTGAGATGGGACTCAACCTTGGCAGCAGAAGCAGAGGTCTTCAGAGTGACAATGTATTTCCCGGGGATGATCTCATTTGAACCCTTGCTTGGTGCAGTGGGAGCAGCAAGAGCAGCAGGTAAGAGAGCTCCCAAGTAGAGAGCAAGGCGAAGAAGGCTGGCCATCTTTGATGAGAGAGAGGTAATTGAAGAAGTGGTGATGGGATGGATGCTCAGAACAAAGATCGAGGGCTCTTGGCTATGATTTATAGCCATCTTCCAATTGTAGTAAACGCGTATAAGTGCCGTTCGCCCTTCTTGGCAAACTGACTTCATAGCGGGACTTATTGCGCGATAGTCATGGGACTAGGTTATCGATGTCGGACTTGGCACAGCTTCCTAAATGGTCCATGCCCGATGCACCCCAGAAAGGAAGGTTGCACTTTGACAGGGGTAATTTGAGGAACTATTGCTTCAACACCACGGAGAAACAACAATCGCGTCAAAAAAGGCAATAATTGTCACAAATCTAGTCTCGAAAGAGTTGTAGTAAAGTGATGGACAAGCGGCTATTCGTTTATCTGTCAATCAAGAGGTTGAAGGATAAGAGTATGGGAGCTAAGACTCTAGTCTAGCTACTAAGACAAAGCATAACGAGTAAGCTTATACGGTGATACGATATCAGTCATGGAAGTAGGCAGTTTTAATATAGCAACTGGATCTTAGTAAAGCATTGTTAAAGAGCTGAAAGCTCTAGATCTAAGGTGTCCTTTAAATGTCTAGCTGAAACATATTAATGCAATAGTACGCAATAGTTTACCTGTTCATTAGTATATAGAATACATACCCCGCTTTATTGCCTCACAAATGCGAGTTCTTCTACAATGCTAAATTATCCTATTTGTAACGAAACCTAAGCTAGCTAATTTGATCTTAGTGCTTTAACAATTTCTTCCTTTCTCGTTCTTTCTGCCTGTTTAGCTGGATCTATATACAGTTAGTATTGTTACTTAGTACAACAGGGACTGTTACTTACCTTTTCAGATATCCGACATACTTAGAGGAATCTGGATTAGAAGGACCAATGGTAACACTTGTCCAAATCCTATTTTCGTCTCGTCTTCCACTAAGGGGTCGTTCATTACTTTGAGCATAATGATATCCCACGTATCCCAAATAATGAGCGCATAGTATGCTAAGAAAAATCCCCGCCTGTCACTGTCGCCTCATGGCCAGACTGATATCAGCACGCGAATCAACTGGATAAAGCGAACCATCATCCAAAAGAAAGTTGTCGCGAAATACACGTATAGCAGCCGTTGAAACCGTCCAAGCATGCATTTGCAAGAGATCCCGGCAGCCATCTTCGAGCATACATCTTGCCAGTGCTTGAAGAAGCCTTCCAATCTGTCACCCTGGTGTTCTATTCTTTTCGGAAACGTACCCTTTCGGTCCACAAGACTCCATATGAGAGCGGCTTCGTATATGCTCAAGCCTACCACCCATATCCAAGAAGTAGTCGAGGTCTTGTATGTAATATCATTGAAGTGATAACACTTTTGCGGATCGTTCTCATCCCAGCTGTGATCTTCTATTTCATTGCAAAAAGAAGCCCAAGTAATGCCCAAGAAAACACTTACTATGATCAGGAGTCTTCTCGTATATACTTGCCACTTTGTCCAGGAAATATTATTACCAAAGCCCGTTTTCGACTTTTTCACAGCTTCGTACATATAAGTTCGTCGGGACATCCAGAAAGAGATTGATGTCAACGACCAGTATGACAACACCAGTTCCCGATGATAAAAGGTGATTGTATTCCATTGAGAGAACCCGCCAATTACAATTGCGGCACCCGTAACTGCTTGAAGGTCGCAAAGAGGACCCAGGAGCTCTTCAGCACCAAGACCAAATCGATAATTAATGAGTTCCCAATCACGCAAGAATAAAATGGTTGCAGCAACGGCTGTGACTCACGCGGTTAGTACAAAAGCGAATATAACCTGAAAGGACGTGAGTGGCTCTGCCTAGTTCCAGTTTTGGTGGGTTTGATTATTACTCCGATCCCTCCGATGTCTGCATCACCCGGTATCTTATTCTCATTCTCCGGCAGACTCGTGAAGTCGCAGCCCACATACTGATAGGCTCGCCACATGCTCAAAGACAAATGAAACACTCAGGGGGTGATTGGGATCTCCGATGAAAGAATAACTGCTTTATGGTGTCAACGAGGAAGAAGGAAGCGGATGAAGGGAAAAGCTATCAATGCAAATGGAATTGTAATAAATGAAGGTCTCATATCAGTGTCTACCAGCAGGCTGTGTTACAAGACGTATGCCTGAGATAAGGAGGCTGTGTTCAGGCTATGCCATCACAATTTTTACGAAGACCAAAGTTGATAGCTTACCTACGCATAATAACGAAAGTAAGGGTTACTTCGTGAATTCGGCGGCCTAAGAGGGTTGAATTAGCACATCTGATTGGTTATACCGTTGATACCCCGCTTTTGAACTTTCGCACAAAGCCTGAAACTACACCTTATCCTCTCTTTATATACTCTCTTTAACATGATAGATGCTCGATGACAGTGTCCCGTTCGATTCGAGTGCTAAATTACAAGTACTATCTTTAACGTGGGGTCTTTTGGCCGTAAATATAGTGTTTCTTCAGATCCAATCGTCTAGAAGATGCATCTTGTATACATTTGAGATAAATTCCAGAATACGTGTCTCTGAAGAAAGCCCCGACTCGTATCGCTTTCCATTACTCTATACTGAAACCCTCGCCGGGTTTGAATACGGTCGGACCTTGCGTTTTAGGCTATAGGCAACCTGGCAGGCGGCCCGGCTCTAAACGAGGATATTGAACAGGCGTTGAGCTATGACAATCAAGAAATATTAGCGGTACTAAGATACACGAGGAAGACAAAGTTCACCTACACCCATGCTACACCTTTTAACTTACAGTTTGGTCTCTTTATACTTTTTGGAAGAAGTATACTAGATAACAATCCGGTTGTTGCTCTGATACTCCGCTTCATGATCTACAAGTTACTGTCCATTCAACCGCTAGGAGAAGTTATACGCGTTTAAGTACGTTACCCGAGCATAGGCAGTAACTATTGTATATGTAAGACTTTATCCACTTGATAATAAGCTAAACTTCATTAGTATAAGTGCACTCATGGCTGTTACATATTACCACTCGAACGTTAGTACCCCGCTTTGGAAGTCTTGCACACAGCTTGAATCCATAATTTATACGCTTGTGACATATCTCGAATCGACAAACACTCCCTTCAACTTTTGTCAATGGCATCGGCGAGTCAAATTATAGAGCCCCTGCTACCTCTTTTAGAATCCAAGGCATCAATGTACAAGCCACTTGCGGCCAGAGAGATCCGCCTCCTGGTAATCCAACCAGGTGTTTTTCGTGACCGCCTCAGATGCAACTTGAAGACAGCCTCACTCGACGACGAACCACTGCTCCTTTGAAGCACTGTCATATTGCTGGGACGAGCTTTGAGACACTGCTATGGTCGACGACCACACAATCTCCGTCCCCTCGGACCTGGCATGGTTTATTCGCCGGTTATGACGGAAGGCAAGTCCGCGCACAGTCTGGGCAGATTCTATCTGCATCAACCAAAGTGACAACGTCGAAAAAGGACATCAAGTCAATATGATGCGTGAGATTTATCAACGTACTACCGAAGCGCAAGTCTACCTCTGTGAGAGCGTAGGCTCAAATAAACAGCAACAAGAGGACGATATCCAAGACGACGAGTATCAACCATTTCACTGGTATGGCGACGAAAGAGACGTGCATCTCTCTTCTTTACTTGCAACATATGGCTACCAGCCATTGAGTTACATCATGATGGACATAGTAACCATCGGGTTGTTAACATGCACTGCCGATCACTTCTGCTCCCTGGAGAACGATATTACAGCTATCACTGGATGTTTCCAACTATCAATATACTTTTTTACAAAAATGGTTGAGGAACCATGGTTCTCAAGGATCTGGACATTCCAAGAGGCAGTGCTTCCGAAGATCGTATCCGTGCACTATGGAGTCTGCGTCTTTTCGTTAGACATGATGCTACTTGCATCGCAGAAAATAATGTTTCTCGGAGGAACAAAGGGTGCTTCTTGCTGTTCGTCGGTTTGGAAGCGACTACCACCTTTAGGTGCACCTGCTCTCGGCCACATTGAGGGGCATTTATGAGACCTCAACTTTCATCGCAACTCGGCACAAAAGAATACTCAGTATCAAAGATATTCGGATGTTGATTTGGTAGTTTTGTTGCAAGCCACCAGGAACAGAGGATGCACGGAACCTCGGGACCGAATATACGGACTGCTAGGGCTGGTTCATAACTGGCTCGTTACTGAGCCAATCATGCCTGATTATGCAGTAGGCATTGAAGAATTGTACATCACAGCGACATGCAAAGCAATGATAGAAACGAACACGACTGTGCTTCTGACATATAACAAACCAAAGAAGAATCCCACTTTGCCATCCTGGGTGCCTGACTAGACACGAACGTTAACGATAGCCGAGAAAGCGTCAATATTGCTGACCATGTCTTAGAAAAGCTATCCTGGTCGCCAGGAACTTCAGCTTCTGTCAAACAGTCGACTGCGCCTAAGTATGGTATTTGTTGGCAATATTCAAAAGGTCTTGGATCGCTCGGACTTTGATGAAGAGAGGACCACTGACACTCCTCCGACTGACGATGCTATCTTTGAAGCGATACGGACTTGCCGTGGGATGATTGGCTTGCCTGCCGACCACGAGTCGACGGAAAACCTTGTAGGTCCAGAGACGAGTTGTTCAGACAGCGGACTTTGACAGACTGCCATTCCCATGAGACGACGGGATATCAGCAATAGAAGAATGGTAGCCCCGGTCTGGACGAACAGCCAACCGACACCGTTTCATGGAGGCCATGGTCAATCTTTCTTCACTCTAGCGGACGGTCGTTTCAGTCTTGCCAATTTCGAATGCACCACACAAGACGTGGTTTTTGCAACAGTTGGTGGTCTGTCTGTTCATCTGGTCCTTCGACCGTGCAGAACAACACAGACGTGGCCTGATGTGGATGAATGGGAATTGAGAGGGCCCTGTGAGCTCTGGGATTTTAACAGAGATAATGAAGGGCTTCTTCAGGGAGATAAACATTTAATTACACTAGTATAGCCTCAAGCCTTTGGTAGTTAATAAGCTCTATCCCGTATACGAGAGCTTCCTCGGACGGCGTCGGTGTTGGATCAGCTAAATCCACTAGCAGGCTTGTTGAGGAGGACTTTTGACAGCATTACCGGCCGAGTTGATGTATTTCTTGAGCACGCTAGTCCCGCCACACTTGTATTTGATAGCTTGGATGAAGTCTTGGGCATTTAACTTAGCACCATCCCAATTGGTGTGCGTGTGGTCGTTGGGGTAGTAAGTCTTAGCCTTGGTGGGGCCCATAGCCTGGAACAAAGCGACGGAATACTTTGTATGGTCGATGTATTCGACGCCCGCAGCCTTGGCCACAGTCTCAGCGTAATCCGCAAAGGGCCAGGCGGATTGTAACGTATTCCCATTCCAATAATTACGGGTAACCAGACCAGAAATAATGGGCGTGGCTTCCTTGGCTTTGACATCAGCGATCATCTTGCGAAGATACCAGCCAAATGTGTGAACGACTTCTGTTTTGCCTGCAGTAGTGGTAACAGTGACAGTGTTCTCACCAGTACCTGGGAGGGTGCCTCGATCATTTACAGTGGGATCTTGGTCGTCGTTGTGGCCCATCTCGATAACTACGAAGTCTCCTGGGGCTGTCTTCGAGAGCAAATCACTCCACAGACCCTCATTGATAAATGATCTGGTTGAGCGGCCGTTTTTGGCAAGATTCATGACTGCCAAAGTTGTGTAATGTTGGATGTAATAACCCCAGCTATCATCCGTAAGTAAGTAAGAGTACATATCCTGATCATCGGCCGGAATTATTCACCCCTGTAAGACACTATCGGTGCCATAGTTTGCGGTTGTGCTATCAGAACAAAGTAATAGCTTTGCAGCCTTGACATGCGCTGCTGCAAATAACGCTGTGCTAAGTATGTTTGATAAGTGCATGCTGCAAATATAATTTAGAATAAATGTATTCGATATAATGTTATGCCCCAGAGGCTTTCTTTTCCAAGATGAAGAGTACAACTCTATTTATCTAAGTGGGGATTCAGGTTTAAGGTAGGAAAATGCTATCTGGAACTACCACTTCAACTGCGAAACTCGGTAATGGCGGCATCTGTGCAAACACCCAAATCGGGTATCTCGGAGTGTATAGCACTGGTCGTAATGCTTAATCCAGACGATGTTAAAATTCTCAGGACAAGCCCGTTAATTGATTGGCTTGGGGAACTAGATCTACAGCGGGGTCGTGGGGGATAGTCTATAATGCAGGCGTGATAATTACCTACCCCACGATTCTCCTTTAGTTGTTGATTTTCCACGTATAACAAAGGGAAAGCTCGGGGACTAACAGAAATACGAGTAAAGACCTTCTTCGGGAGACATGAACTCTATCACATTAGTATAGCCTATAACCTTTGATAGTTGATAAGCTTTATCCCGTGTATAAGGACTTTTGACTGCCTTATTATACACTGTAAGCAATGGGGCAATTGCATTTTATGAGCTTGCGCGTTTTAGCAACAAGTGGCCCCTTAGAAATAAGCTAGATACATATGAGAAGATCGATGTAGCACAACTTACTAACAAGCTAACCTGCTTTTACTAGTAAGTTTTAAGATATCTACATATCGCTACTTCTTACATATATATGATAGAGGAGCTATATTAAATAACCCTAATGCGTACCCAAGAACTATCTGGAATCACAAAATCCTCCAAAGTAGAAGGTCCAGATTGCTGTTGCTCGTCCCAGCTACTGTTGCTTTCATCTGGTGCAGAATGAACCCTCCCTGTAAGGCAGCAAAACCCAATTCGTCAGTATGTATCAATAGCCAGCTTTTGAAGCACCAAACAACCATATTGAAGCTCATCGGGCGATCTGACCTGAGCAAGTGGCGCGCAAAAGACTCGATAGCCAATAGCAACACCCTCGTCCTCACTGCAATCAGGTATGAAGTACTCTAGATCATGTGGAGTCTCGAGTCCATGCAGCCACCTACTACTGATAAAAGAGCCATAAGACTCGGCAGTGCAGTGGGAAATGTCGCCTGGTATTAATGCCACTTTCATATCCAGGTAGCCGCCCTTGACGGCACCAGTTGTATCAGACGTTGCCTGTTCACACGCAGCGTCGATAAGAAGACAAGCGGGCTCTGGCTCCCCCTTGGGTTGATGCGGATGTCTTTTTTCTGACCCCATCCACCATCAGAAACAATTACCATTGCCGTCGAGCGAGGCCCAAGACCACGAGGGCGCACGGTAGTGTATAGGTCTTCTACTCTTGCAGAAAGATGCATCATGGTGAATGATCTTGTAGTACCAGCAGAGGTCATGGAGGAGTGAATCCTGCCAAAGCCCTGCTAGATAGACACCGTCTCTGATCTGCTTGCGTCTCTGGGCCAGACCTGACAGTGCAGGTAACTTATCAGTAGCATTCGTCAGGTCGCGGTTTGTATAGTTGTTGACCACTTCCTCCCACCATACCAAAATACCTTGTGGGTCATCTGGAAGGGTTCTAGTTGATTCCTGGAAGTTATTGTGTCGGTGCCAGGGAAGGCGAGACCCGCCTTCCCGCAGTCCCATCTCACCACATTCACAGGCGAAGTGAGTTTCGCATCGCCACTCGATATCATACTTTCCAAAGTGCAGAACACGAGGGGGGAGTAGAAACTCTTGAAGGGTCCAGCCTCTCCTCTCCAATTCTGGGCTTTCTGTATAATGAGCGATTAAGCACTGCCTGACGTATGGTAATGTGCGTTGCCCATCATCAGTTGTTACTTCCACACTGTAATCATCGACAGGCTCAGTAGAAAACATGCCACTATCCATGTGGGTTGAAAGGTCGGCAGAGATGGTGAAATGCGAGTTCTGGTATGTCCCAGCCATGTTGGAGTTCTCTAGGGCAAAGTCCTGCCTTGTGATCTCGGCCTCATTAGGTGTCATATCCTCAAAGTTTTGCAGGATGCATAGAGTATCAATCCAGAGATACCTAATATCCATAGAACGACAAACTTTAACTGCATCCTGGAAGGTAGCAGGTAGGTCGTTCCACTTGATACTGTTCATGTGGTTTTGAATTGTCTTTGTTGTGGTTTTGAGCTTTTTGTGCTTACCATCGCCCCAACGATTGCTGAGGCAGACGTAAGGCTGCTCATCGCCTTGAGTCTCAATAAGCCTGAGACCATTTGCAGATCCTTCAACCACAAGCAGCCTTTTTGGTAGTGGATCTCCTGGGTGGCTAGACTTTGGGCAGTCATGGCTGGTCAGGCACTCGGACAGCCAATCGTGAGCCTGCTTAAAGCTTTGTTTTGAGTTTGTGTACCGTCCAAGACGATATTCTGTGGGAATGTGACGTCCTTCGACTGTGAGTTGGTTTCTGACTGGCTCCTCCTGTCTCTGAATATGACGATTTGATGACTTGACCCGCGCGAACTGAAGATCAGGCGACTATTATCAAAATCATTTATCACCAATTCATTGAGCTCAATCTGGATTTCGTCTTCGTCGTGGGGTGGTGGCGTTAAAAGGTCGGGAAGCCGCTCTCTTCTATACTCCAGGATAACATCTCTGTACAGACAACACAAACGACACACATTCGATGACGAATCTATGGTGGAGAAGCTATACTTCCTATAAGATGTGCCTCTTCCTCGGTGGGGGCAATCCTCTTGGGGTTGGGCAACAGGCTTGACTGAATTTAAAGTGTTCATTTTCACACTGGCCTTTATCGAGGCTTAAAAAAGATCAGCGAAATAAATAGCAATGGCAGTAGTTCAACTTCAAGAATAGGGAACAAAATTAAAACAGGTGGGTGTGAGAAAGGAAAACGATGAATTTAATTGCCTACCTGAAGTTGGGCAGCAATACAGCAACCTCATCAGGTGATATCTATATTCGGATCAATGTAAATACGCCACAGCTGTGTAGGACTACCGGGTGGGTTATACAAGGGACCGACCGACATCTGATAACAAATGATTTATGACAGGATCTCTGGAAAATACTGGATCACACTTTGATAGCTGTACTCTGATAGTATATACTACTATTCTTTCAGCTACTATTTTGCATATTTGTCTTTAAAACCTATCTGCTATTTCTCAAGGACCTGAGTGAATATACGGTGTCCACCAATTTGGGTCGTTTGTATGGTCCCTGGCGCTTTTCAGAGCATCATGTAATGCCTTCGCCACCAGGTAGTCTGTTGCTTCACCTAACCTGTTCTGTCCTAGAGCCTGATAAAAGCTCTTAGCAACATAGGCTTGAGAAGCGGCATCCGCTTTTGACAGAGATCCCAGAGCATGCCTGAAACCAGCAAGTTGGAATGCGCTGATTATGCCTAACCCTTCATCGGTTGGTGACTTGGTCTTGCTCCCTGCTGTGGGGTGTAATGTGAAGAAAGCGATTTTTGGCTTGTCTAAAGTTGCGTCATCAGATATCAACTCTGCTGTCAGCTTTCCCTCGTCAGCGCCCGATGACAGGTGCCTACCAACTTGAATGTAACTTTGGGACGGGTTGAAAGAATCAGATTGTCCGTCGCAAGCAAGATGAATGACATCAAACCTGCCCATTGTTTTCAATGTCTCTTCGACTGACGGCTCTGAGAGGGTCACCGCCGTGAAAGTCTCTCCAAGGGTTTCATCCATTTGTTGAAACGCTTCTGTAAGATCTGGGCGCTGACAACCATCTGAATCTCCGGGTGTCGTGACGATCAAAACTGAAGTCTTGTCCCCATCGTTATCACTGGGTTTGGTTCTAGCTCTTGCTTCCATCAAAGACGTAATAGATGGAATATAAGATGAGATTGCATGATCCAAAGTGCCACCCTCGAAGTTTCCTGCTGCGTGAAATGGAAACCCACTGGCGATGCCCGTCCCTATCCACCAAATCCGAGGAGTTGGCGACGATGACTGCAACCCTCCAATTTCCTTGAGGATAGGTTCAACACAAGCCGTCCATAGCCAACTCAGAAACTGTGTGTCGTACAGATCGTGGGGGTCCTCATCACTCTCTATCTCTTGCTTATCCGAGCCTTGGGGCTTCTTTATGCGACTGAAAGTCTTCAGATACCTATTCAGAAAAGGTTCCCCTGAGGGGGTTGCTTTCGGTAGGTTGAGGGATCTGACTCGTTTTTCAGACGTTGAGATTATGATAGCATCACTGCTCGGGGGAGTGATATTCACTATCACGATGGACCCGTCAGTGACTCCCTCAAGCAAGTCGTCTAACTTTGGCAACTTAAGAAATTCTTCAAAATCCGGTTCGCGCCGGATTAGCCCAAGGTAAAAGGCATGGTCGTGATCAAAGTCCTGAATTTCAGACACAATCCGGTCCTTGAAAGTGACCTGTTCCATGGTCTCTATAGGCTGGGCGGCTTTAGATCGTAACTTGTCGAAGGTTTTTGCCCAAGTCACCTCCTTCTGTTCCAGGCGAGACAGTTTCTTTCTGTACTTGAACAAATGGTAAAGGATGATTTCACGACTGAACTCAAAACTCAATGCCAAGAAGCGCTTCCTCCTCTTTTCCAACAAGAAGTGATAGGGAACAAGTTTCAGCAGCGAACCTTGACATCTGTTCGATGGCGTGCTGCTGGTCCTGGCGTGGGATACTTGGATGGGAGGCCATAGGTAGTAACTGCAATGCCTTTTGGGCAAGCGTGTTTGCTTCATCCAACTTTCCAAGAAACTTGAAAATACGGATAGCAGCTCTCGCCCCCTCAATTCCAAGTAGTGGATGTGCAAGGCTGTCTATCTGCAAAGCTGCACCGATATCAGCGCAGGACGCCATGAGTTCCACCTGGTCGGGATCATTGTCATCCCTAGAGATCTCGAACTGTCGAAATAGCATAATCGCAAGGTTGGTCAGGAATCTCAGTTGATTCAAGTTGTCTTTGCATAATAGACTAATAGCGAGTTCTGTCTTTTCGATTGCGGCTAGAAGATCATTCGTGTCGCCCCTTTTTTCGTAGCTTCGTAGTAGCCAGGCCCCGAGATTAGCTATCCTGGCAGGTATCTCGGGGTTCCCTTCGGGAGTCGCAGAAACAGCGTCTCTTGACAATGGCAATCCAACGCGAAGAATTTCTGGATCCTCTTGCACTTGATATTTCTTGAAAAGGTGCCCCGCAAACTCATGCAGCGGGTTTGCTCGGTCCTTAACATCCATCGGAACAAACGGTAGCGTCCGCTTCGAATATGAGGCTGCTAGTTCTATATCCCTCCAGTTTCCCAACTTTTCATATAAGAGTAGAGTACCGGTGCGCAATATAAATGGCAGTCTCACCGAAAGTCCCTCATGCTTAGCATTATCAGGCTCCTCGAAGAACACTTGCCAGCAGATAGTGATGGCTGCTCTAAGGTCTTCCGGATCGTTAGTCTCGCTGTAACGTGAGGAGACATCTCCGTGCAGGTGTTCGTCAATAAGTAGGTACCAGAGAGATACTTCTTCGGACAAATTTAGGGTGCGAAATAGCAGCATCTTGTTTCGTAACGATGCCCGGAGGTCATCAGTGTTCCCGGTTTGCTGATACCGGGCTATTAGTAAGTCTGCCAGCTTTTCAAGAGACCTTCCTCCAGCTTCATCTTTTTCTGGCTCTGGCGGTATGCTCTTAGTAGCCTCCAAGATGTCTTGATCGAGTTTTTCCATATTGGACGTTGTGTGGACCCAGTAATTGTTGTCAGTTATAAAGAATAAATATCCCGCAGAGGGAACATTGACAATGCGGGGGTAAGCTCAAACTGTTCTGTATGTCCTTGGTAAGCCTCTGTGCCAGTTGCTAACGTGGTTTGAATGCTAAATAATGCACCGATACTAAGCGAGAATGTTTTTAATCCCATATCGTGATTTTCGCCTTGCTTTACTAAAAGTCTAATTCAATCTATTTAACACAGCCGTTTTACGAAGAATCTTTCACCATTTTGTTTCTTTATCGCTCCTCAATCAGGCTACCCTAGAAGCCAAGACCACAGCATAGCATGACCCCATCACTAACACAAATTTCCCCTCACTTGTACAATTCACCCATCGGATAAAATCTCCTTTCTGCAGCGATTGGACGGCTAAATACAAAAACTGCGAAGCAACCCACTACACGATGAATCAGTCCACAAAGCCCAGACCTTAAGTATCAGCCAGATTCAGCTTAACTTGACCACCAACAACTGAACAAAAGCAAAAGCGTACAGATAGCGCAACCAACCATGTCGCCGATTAACCCCATCCTCCCTGGCTTCTCGCCTGATCCATCCATCGTCAAGTTGGATGAGTGGTATTTCCTTGTCAATTCCACGTTTCACATGTTTCCTGGTATTCCCGTTTATGCCTCTAAAGATCTCTTATCGTGGAAACAGATTGGTAAGATATTTATGAGATTTATTGGATGGTAGCTAAGTGAGTGAAGGAAATGTCATCTCAAGACCGGGACAGATTAGTTTGGCCAAGTCGCCTACAGAAGTCAACCCTCTTCCAGATGTCGGCGAAGTAATGCTCGCCACTGGAGGTCTCTTTGCGCCTACCATTCGCTACAAAGATGGCACATTCTACGTCGTCTGCACCAATGTCGTGCGAACCCTTGGCGAAACAGATGTTCTGGAGAATTTTATCTCTTCAACCAAAGATATCTGGTCAGGCCAATGGAGCGACCTCGTCAAATTCGAGTTTGACGGTATTGACCCTAGTATTCTTTTCGACGATGATGGCAAGACGTACATCCAGGGATCTAAATCTCCAGGCCCAATGACCAAGATCGCTCAAATTGAAGTTGATCTTGAAACAGGTCGTGCGCTGTCGGAAGAGAAGATTCTTTGGGAGGGTACCGGTGGTGTATACCCTGAAGGGCCTCACATTTACAAACGAAACGGATGGTACTGCCTCATGATTTCTGAGGGTGGAACTCACGAAGACCATATGATCACCATGGCCCGATCGCGTAATGTCTGGGGTCCTTATGAGCCGTGCCCCAACAACCCGATCTTGGTACCAGCGAGCAGCGATATGTACATCCGCCACACAGGACACTGCGATGTTTTCGAGGACGAGAAGGGACAGTGGTGGGGAGTCTGTCTTGGTGCAAGACGTGACAAGGAAGGACGATACAATATGGGACGAGAGTCGCATCTTACTATTGCCCAATGGACGGACGATGACTGGCTTAAACTCGACTCTGTTCCAGCGACGATTGATACATCACGACTCGCTCAGACAAATGCAGTACAGAGTCTGACAGCCGTGGAAGGTGTAGATTATCTCTACATCAGAGACGTGGACTTGAATAATTACAATATTGAGGGATCTAAAATCAGTCTAACCGCTTCCACGATCGATCTCTCGCATACTCACGAATCGCCTACATTCGTAGGTAAACGCCAACGCGTCCTCGACGGCCAAAGCAGTGCAACATTCAAGATCGACCAATCAAGCCCCATCAAATTCGGCCTCGCATCATACAAAGACGAGCACCGATACGTCCGGGTCTTTTACTACCCCTCCGATAAGACAGTGACTTACGAAGCCATTAACAACGCCAAGAGCATCAAAAAGACATCCACCCATTCCGTAAGCGAAGATGCAAGCAGTATTCGCTTCCGAATTGAGTACACTGAGAAGAAATATACTTTATCTTATGCAGTTGACAGCAAGGAGTGGCAATCTGTTGCGACGCTGGATTTGATCGACATGACAGGTCCCGACTTTGTAGGCCCTGTGATCGGCATTTTTGCGTTGGGTGATGGAGGGAACGTGGAAGTGACTGATCTGAAAGTGGAGTAGATAGACATGCCAAGTTTCACATGGTCTGATCAATGCAACAAGTTAGATGCGAAGGGTGAAGGGTACATTAGCCGCCGAGATGACATGAGACAAAATGATTTAGTCAGTTTATGCCATTTCAATCCAACATCTAGGCTACTCTATTCACTTTGTTAACTCGTCTTGGAGAACTCATCTGCTACCCAGTCAATACTAATCAAGTGCTGATTCAGATACCGTTGTGACGGAATCATTCCGTGCATGTCTCGTTCCCTCGCAAATGAAACCATCTCATCTCTTTTGCCTAAGATCACAAGCCAAGAAACTCCAACAATAGGCACATGACCTCTCCCAACCTGTTGGTTCTACAATCAAGCTTTCAGGCTAACAATTTACCCGGTTCTGCAACGGGTAATTCCTCGCATCCTTGCCTATCACAACCAACCACTCGGACAAATTTCTTATTATCCGGTTGTTAGTCCTCAACCTTAATCAAACACTCTCCATATTAACCGGAAGCCCCCTTCCTCTGCAATTGGTCACCCGTATAACCCCATGGGGAGGTTTTTCGCATCTCAAGGTCGGATAAAGCATATCTTGCGGGGAAGCGGGCGCTGGGAAGGCCTCGGTAAGGATAGTGACAAATTACTGAGCCGATGATCTGATTGAGATAGTATGTGGTTATCGGCATGTTTTTCTGTCGGGTTGTTTGACACGGCTGATGCATGCTGTTGGTTTGATAGACCAGGTAGGCTAAATGAAACTGTACCATCGCTCAATCTCAGAGAAGTGATATAAAGATCGTCTCCACGTCCATGTGAATCCTTCTTCCCCAGATCTCCAGTGCCAGGTGCCTCAGTATTGGTGTATCAGCAGAAGATTTGCCACTTCAATAGCCTCCAACATGGCTCTCTTTCGTCCTCCTAAGCGGACCCAAAAGGTCATCCCCGCCAAGCCTACCAAAGGCCACTTCTTCTTCGCAGGCAAAGAATTCCAACGTCTCAAATGGTGGAAGAGACGTAACATGCGAACTCTGTATTTCTACATTGTTATCCTGATTCTCACCAACACTGCCAATGGATTCGATGGTAAGTCAAGCTCTCCAGACCTTCCCACTGATTCATATACTAATTAGTGGTTTAGGTTCTATGATGAACGGTCTCCAGACTCTGTCGTACTGGCAAGAGTACTTCAACCATCCACGTGGCTCCACTCTCGGCTTCTTCAACGCTTCCATGAGTCTTGGTTCTCTCATCGGTCTTTTCATCGTTCCTTACATGATTGATCGTCTCGGTCGAAAGATGGGTGTCATCATCGGCTGTGTCATCATGCTTCTCGCCGTCGGTCTACAATCTGGAGCTCGAAACTTTGGCATGTTCGTCGCAGCACGTCTCCTCCTCGGATTCGGCGACTGCATTGTTCTTGGTTCTGCTCCTCTTCTCATCGCTGAGATTGCTCATCCGCAAGATCGTGCCGTTCTTGTGACTCTCAGTGGAGCATCTTACCACTCTGGTGCTTTTATCTCCAGTTGGGTCACGTACGGTACTCTTCAGATCAAGAGTGATTGGTCGTGGAGACTGCCTAGTCTTCTCCAGTCTATCTGCAGTGTTATCATCCTTGTTGGAATCTTTTGGATGCCTGAGAGTCCTCGTTGGTTACTCAGCAAGGATCGACATGATGAGGCGCTTAAGGTGCTGACTCATTACCATGCTGAGGATGATGTCGACGATGAGTTTGTCCAGCTTGAGTTCAGCGAGATCAAGGCTGCTATCGCTCTTGACAAGGAGGCTGGTCAGACTGGTTGGACAGATTTCCTGAAGACCAAGGGTAACCGCAAGAGAATCGGTCTCATCACCGCTCTTGGTTTCTTCAGTCAGTGGAGTGGCAATGGTCTCATCTCTTACTACCTCAAGGGTATCATGGACGCTGTCGGCATTACCAAGGCTGAGACTCAGCTGGGTATCAACGCTGGTATGAAGACACAAGGTCTTATCATCAACACTGCTTTCGCGTTCTTCATCGATTACTTCGGTCGTCGTCCCATTTACCTGACCTCGACCATCGGAACTTGTGTCATCTTCAACTTCTGGACGATTGTCTCGGCTCGATACGAGATTGATCCCAACAAGGCTCTGGGCTATGCCTTTGTCGCATTGACTTTTATCTACGGTCTCTTCTACGATGTCAAGTAAGTGACTCCCACTCATCATGATCTCTCCAGCATGCTAACATTATCAAGGTCTGGTCTCATGGCCAACTACACCACCGAGATTCTTCCCTATGGTCTTCGTGCCAAGGGTTTCACATGGCTCAACTTCTGCGTCACCCTCGCCTTATTCTTCAACCAGTACATCAACGGTATCGCTCTCGATGCCATGGGCTGGAAGTACTACTGCGTCTACTGCGTGTTCCTCGGTTTCGAAGTATACATCATTTATTTCTTCCTCATCGAGACACGATACACACCCATGGAAGAAATCGCGCAGTACTTCGATGGCGACGATGCTGTTGATGTTGGAGAGGTTGCTCGTGCGGATATGAAGGACAGAGGGATTGACGTTGATGGCGACGAGAAGGGAGCTCATGCTACTACTATTGAGAGATTGGAGAGTCAGAAGTAGATGATGATTACTCGGGGCATTGATGGGTGCGGATGGTACTTCGAGCGTCGTTGTAATGCCAGTATACCTAGTTGGAATATTGATGCTGTTTCTTGTTTCATCTATATTGGCCTCCACCTCGGTGCGCAAAGCTGATCCGATTGGTTTAACACGGACGTCCTCAATCAATTTCACACACGGTCTTGTCGGATAACTCGGCACTTGTACTTTGTCGCATAGATTTATCTATGTCCTGCACTCTAGTCGAGTGTATGCGATGAATGGTATGGACTGTATGATGCATTGCGCCAATGCCAGTATCGCGCAACACCAAAATATATATACAAGAATTTGTGGCTCTACCACAATCTCCACCAATCACATCCCCAAATCAACTCCAACTTAAAAGTTGGAAGTACCCTTAGTGATCTGACCACTCTTAAGAGCAACGTTCTTAACAATAACCTGCTTGTCGTTGACGCTAGTAACACGAACCCAAGCAGTGTCGCTGGGCAGAGTGCCCTTGAGCTTCCACATGTTGGGGTCAGCAAGGTAGCAAGCCTTCCAAGTCTTGCCGTTGTCGCTGCTGACGTCGACGGACTTGACACGGTGGGTCATGTTCTCGATGGTGGTGGCGAACCAGTACTTGGAGGCACCGCCGTGCATGTGGACTTGGAGAGGGGCGGAGCGGAGAGGGCACTCGATCCACTTCCACTTGATGCCGTCGACACCACCAGCCTTCATGTTGTTGGTGAGCTTGTTCCAGGTCTTGGGGGTCATGTCGAGATGGTTCTTGTCGCCTCCGGTTCGGTTGGTGACCTGAAGAGTTAGCAGATATCCTCAATACTGTTCAACGTCCTTGACTTACCATGATCTTGAGGGACTTGCCCTTGTAGTCGACCTGGATGCAACCACCGCAGTTGGCACCATTGTTCCAGATCTCATCAGAAACACAAGTGGTACCGTCAATGCCAGGAGGCAGATCGTATCCAACGAAGCTGCAAGCACCGTTCTGCCAGCAGTCCTCCTCAGTGCAGCCGTCAGCGTCACCGTAGCGGGTTCCCAAACCAGTGAAGACCTTGGAGGTGCCCTGGACGGCGGCGGCGTTGACAACCGTCGAGGTTGCGGCCAGAAGAGTGACGAGGTAGCTGCTGAACATTGTGATTGTGTTGAGAAAGAATGAATGTGTGATGTAGAAAAGAATGTGCTGTGAACTGAAAAGGCAATTGTTCTGTCGATGAGGAGTCAGCCTTATATAAAGCCAAGTAATTTCGTTTCAGATCAGCATTGGTCCTGTCATCTCCAATCTGACAGCATCTGGTCTAGATTTCCATTCCGTGGCCGCGTGTTTTTACCACCTCGTAATTGTAATCTCTCCACGATGAACCCATTGACTGCAACCCTGCACGTCCAATCATGCCGACTTCCGCGAGTAGGTTCACGCTAAGTGTTTCAGATTCTTCTGTCTGGGCGGAGACGCTAATTACAACAGGCGAGCGTATCCTTGTTATCGGGACATCCGGCACGAGGAAACAAGATTTGGAAGCCGTTGGAATGATCCATAATTAAGCAGGATTAAATGCGGATACAAATGGGTGTTCTATGCTTGATATGGGTTGTGAAGTCGTAGGACTTGTCAGTCTAGTAAGCGATTGAGACGGATATTGGCAGCAAGGATAAGATATGAGGCTTGTGATGTTCTTATCGATAAGCTTATCGTTTCATTAACAACTACCAAGACACAGTCCTCTTAAGCACAGAGATGGGAGACCAGAAGCTCGCTCAGTAGAAGTATCGCTAAGGTATAGTTATGACTTAACACGAGCTGAGCCCCGCTATATTGTGGTCATTTGGGCAACACGCTATGGAAGAAGACTGTTTAGTCTGTCTGTAATAGTCAATTCTCTCAGTGCTTGAAAGGCAGAAACACAACTCGCCCCGAATCAGAGCCAATAACTATCGTCGACCCAGCCAAGACGGCACAATTCTCATAATGCGTCCGATATTCTTGAGGCACCACTAGTACCCTTTCTCCATGTCTCATCACAGTGTCTCCCTGACGACTGAGATAAAAGGGCTTCGAAATAGCGTGGTTTGGGTCAATGGGGTTAGCCATACTGCCGAAATTGAAGAAGTTTTCGTTACTATACGGCAACTTATTAAACTTTTGTATTTGACAATGAAACAACAATTGGCCTGTCTCAGTATCCCAAACATGCAGTTCATTATTCGGGTTCACACAATAACGCAGAGACATAAGTCTATAGTTCGACATCGCCAGCATATCCGTCGACAGCATATCCGCGTGCCCGCTCGTTAGGGAAAAGACCTTCATCGGTTGATTGTCCGACAGCTTCAAAGTTCAATGGAGTTCTGAGTTGAAAATGCCACTTGTGAGCCATCATTGGACAGTACGACGGCCTCCGTGCTACTTCCGTGGGTTAAGATATTCATTCTGGTAAAGGTTCCCAGGTCCCAGATCTGCACAGCTGCAGCGCTCCCCTCGCATCCCACTGCAAGACATTTTCCAAGGTCATAAATCGATAGGCAACGAACTTCTCCTTCTATTTTTATCACCTTACTCCGGTGCAATGGAGCAATTTGCCAAATTTCGATGTCAGAGCAAGAACTGTTTACTGCAAAATGTGGTGCGCACTTTGCTGATACGAGAGTATAGTTAATCGGTATCTTTTTGTTGAACTTCCAGGTTTCTTTACAGACTTGACGCGAGACGTCCCAGACTTTGACATCAGATGCTGTTACTTAGAGAACTGTATTGGCGTCAACGATTAACCCGATCCACCTAACTGATGTTTCGTGATGATCCAAATCCTCGAACGAAGTTACCTCTGAAAGGTCCCAAGTTCTTATCGCGTCATCGGCGATTGATACCAAGAAACCGCCATCATGCGAAATCTTTACTCCCTCGCAATGTATGGTTACAGAGGTAGTCTTATGGTACACCAAGCCGGTCTCAAGATTAATGATCGCAAGTTTCTTCGGTTTATTGCTACCGCCGATCGCCAACCTCTGGCTCCCCAGCACCATGGTCTTAACACTGAACTCGAGTTTGAGCTTGAGCAAGCATTGCTTGGTTTCCAGAGACCAAACTCGCACTGTGGAGAGCTCCTCTAATGATGCTATGAGAGTGCCATCCGCGGAAAATTCCAAATTACGCGATGCTCTATTCCCTGCTAGAACATTCCAAGAAATATCTTGGTGTCTGTCCCAATGTGCTACAATGAGTGAGTTTCCCTCTGTGCAAGCCAGCCATTGCCCCTGCTCCGAGAGGATCGTATTGGCGAAAAGAGACCGGATGACATGTGCATATTTTTTGTCTTGAGATCCCAGATCTCTAAAATCGGTTTCGGTAGCCATAGCTCAGGTTCCGAGGCCACCTCACTCTGTACACAGAGAAGTTCACCATCGTCCGAGAACACTAGTTTATCGGTGTGCATACATACGGGCACGAACTCTGGGTAACAGGAGCCATTGTTGAGATCCCAGATTCCGGTTCCTCTAGAGGTAGATATAGCAATCTTGGAACTCTTCCATGACGCAATTTTTGCGATCCAGCCGTCTTCGGGGTTAAGGAAAAGAGTCTGTAGGCAGAGACCTGAGACTGGGTCCCAGATTTGGACTATTGCTCTTCTGGTTGCAGAAATAAAACTTCCGTTTCCGAGGAACATTATGATCTCAATGTCTCTTTGCCCCTGTAGCACCTCCTGTTCCCGGGGCCAGCAATGGGAGACATTGCAGGGTGCAGAAACCCATTCCGGGTATTGGTGTTGATCAAAAGGTTTAGGCGCTGTACTCGATTTGGGAGCGAACAGCACTCCGGAGGTCTATAGCTGCAGCGGTGTTTCAGAGATATAACAGCGAAAATAACGGATAAAACGTATCGCATCTTGACAGAATTGATGATTCTTCCCCTGTTCATCTCCCTAAGTAGTTGTCAATATCATTTCAAATTCCATAAGAGGAAAACTCACGCGAACTATACCCCGGATCTCCCCTATGATCGATGAAGAATCAAGAAGCTTTCCAATAAGACAAAGAACTTCAAGCCATCTCAAGAAGAGCTCGTCTCGGAATCCAGACAGAATTTTGTTGCAATACCCTTCATCCCTATCTCGGGATGAATCGAACGACAGTTTCAAATGATGAACCCAATACAAGCACGCATACTGAACTTCCGGTGGTACATACTTCTGCATAGTCTCAGAGTCAATACCGAAGCGACTTTTCCCGGGAGACACAAGGTCACACATGTCCTGCCTCAACTTCCGCTTCATGAGTTCAAAACAATTGATCGCAAGCGTCTTGTAGCCTTGGGCTCGCTCACTTGGAGGTCTCCAGCTGATTTGCTGACAAGGTAGTCTCTGAAGGAAAGGTGAAATAGTCTAATGGGGCTGTCATCGGACGGGACATCGATCACCGAACGTAGCGGGTCGACTTGACTAATAATCACATGTGGTTCAATGTTAAGCAACTTCGCCAGTGAAGTGATAGACAACGAGTCAGCGAGTAGAATGAACGACCCAATGATGGCAGCGAATTTGGCTATGATCTCAGCATGATCTTCTCCGGGCGAGTGACTCAAGATGAGACCCAATACTGGCCTGTACAAAGCATCATACTGGGAGTGAATCTTGGCGAATGTCTCAACAATGAAGTTAATCTTGTCATTTGGGCTTTTCGTCCAATAACGGTTTTTGATCATGCGGATGAAGGTCGCAGCAGCGATGAAGAGAGGGAGAGAACGTGAGACAATGAGCTTTGTCTTGTCGTCTCCTGGCCAATTAGGCTGCAGTTGCATGTATTCCTGGGGATGTGATCGATTATACTCGAGTACGAAGTGGGAGAGGGCGTGCCTGATGAAGGTGTTGATGTCCTGCTCAATGGTTCCTGGATCGACTCGGTACAGTACGATCTCTCGATGGAACATGGTCTTTGCAAAGTGTCCCCCGATATCCAGCTCAGGCCGACTGGTAATTGAGACCTTAATGGTAGTACAAGACGCTAAAAGTGTTAGGATCTCCCCCCTGTCATCTTCCTCACACTCGTCGAGGGCATCGATAACCAAAAGGATAGGTTTGTCGAATCCAGTAGTCTGCAGTGCAACAAGTGGCTCTTGCACCAGCTTTCGCCATTGTATATCTTTCGGAGCAACAGCGGACGAGTCATCCTGCTTAATAGCATCCACGATAGTTTGAAGCAGTGGAGGAATATTCATGGCGAGTTGGTAAGCGCTAACAGAGAATAGAAAGTGGCCGTTGCCTCTGTTTCCAGCACCCTTCTTGAAGAAGAAGGCTCCACCAAAAGAGCTCCCCTTCAAGTCGCGGGCGATGGTACGGGCAATGGTGCTTTTCCCTGTTCCAGCGAGGCCGGGCAACCAGCAGACAGTAGGAGATTTTGGATCCTCTGCCCAACTCTTGATGTCTTGGAGGACAGCTACTCGTGTACCATCAAGGCAGAAAGAGTTACTGGTGTGGTGGATATGATCGACGGCGTCTTTTGGGTCGACGAGAAGGTCTTTTAGTTGCGCTTTGGCTCGGTCTTCAGCACTTGAACTGCAAACCAATGTTAGTATACATTCCTCTTTCAGGTATGGGAGTTTCAGGACTTACACCGCTTCTTTCTTGACCACTTCGTACATATCCTTGAGGATGCCGTGACTTCTCGTACCGCGATATAGCTCACACATATAGCCCGCATCATGAAGCCGATCTTTTGCTGTGATAAGATCCTGCAGATATTCCGTGAAGTCCTCGATCCTCCAGGCGTCTGCCACGGCCTTGGCTGCCGAGCGTTGTCATCGAAGACCAAAGCCGAGGAACTTGATAGATACGACGAAGCACTCCACGATAGCCTCCTCCAGCTTGTCTTGTGTAGAGTGAGGGTTTGGTTCTGGTGGACTCAAGTGGAGTTCTTGGTAAATACTGGACTGGTATACCAAGATTGTCATTTCAGCCATGCCTTCGATGATCTTGACTCGAATATCCTGACCAGCGGTGAGGTTTTAAAAGCATGTTAGCCTTTCTTTCGCCGTCGCATCAATTAGAACCAACAAGGTATCTTACTAAGAGAAGAAACCTGACAGCAGCCCAAGGGAATGCCGCTGGGTTCGGATTCGCGCTAATAGCAACATCGCCAACAATCATAACACGGTTCAGATAAGGTACAATATCCTCCATCATATCAGCCAGCTTCCCTTTGAGCCCAACACGATTCATTTCATCCTGCAGGGTTTTGAACAAAACGGTTGCGGTGATGTCGCCATCTGCTGGATGAGAGTTCGTCGCGGTCTGTATGAGCTCGCCAAGCTCCGGACCATCATCGGATGCCTTGATTTGCGCCATGGCCTTTAGCCATAACTCCTGGAATGCATTCTGCTGCTCGGTGGTGGCACCTGAGTGCTGAGTTTGCTGTGAAGCTTGGGTTGCGGTCGGTGTTCTAGAAGTATTCGCGGGACGTAGGGTCGCTAGAGACACTGTATCTGCCGGCACAGCAACAGAGGTTCTTCCTTCTGTGGGGTATCAGTATGCGGTAGTCCTAGCCGTTTATTCCATAGAGCCTTACCTGGTATAGCGGCTGCTGGCCTCGGTGTCGGGGTGGGCTCGGCGTCGTCGCCACAACACTGGATTAGACGGCGACAAGACATCTTACTCAGTTGGTCTTCAAATCGGGCTTTTTCCCTCAGAAATCTCACTATTACTTGGCGAGATGGAAGATGGAAGATGGTCGATTGATCAAAGCCTAAGCTATGGAAGAATGCACTCCCAAGAAGAAGAGCCGCTGAAACCTGCAGACGCCTAGACAGTGACTAGCCTCGCAGTGAATACCTCCAAGAGGTTACACAGAGATTGCCTTGATTGCCAGTAGTCACTTCCTGCCAATGAAGCAACAACAGCAAGTAACAAATACCAAGTGGGGCTATCGAGTCTTCCAACTCGACTTTGGGCCACAACTTTGCCATACCATACAGCGTCACTGTCTCTGCAAAACCATAACTACGAATTAATAACAAAAAAAGGTAGAACACAACCGTCAGAAAAATGCAAAATGCGACCGAGGGGAATCGA